AGAGAAGGCTAAACTCCTCAGACTGTCAGTCAAGCTGCATAGGGAGCCCCCTGCTGGAGAAGTATGGTAACTTGAGCACCATCCTCTCCTCCTTCCTACTTTATCTGTTTAGCATTTTTAGGATTTTGACTGTAGTTTGTTCATTGCTATTCACCCGTTGTCCCATTGTCTGTTTCATGGTACGATGACGGGATCTCTGAGCCTGGCCACCTCCATCTACACCTGCGGACTGCCCCGCCCGACCCGCCTGGGAGTGCTTCGGTCCTGCACCGGACCTGTCCACGTTCAGCGTCCACTGGTCCACGTCCTGTAGCTAGCTTAGGTCCTGGATCATTAGCCTGTCCGTCCGGAGGAGCGGATCCCTTTCTCATATGGGTCTCCCTCCCTGTGGGTTTCCCTAGTTCTCCAAGGTTTCTCACTTTTTCCCACTGGGTTTTTTAAGAGTTGTTCCTTGTGGATGCAGGAGGGTCTTGTTGGACAGTTAGTGTCCAACAGAAAGGATTGGTGATGATCAGGACACTTTAGCATTCTACAACATGTATGGACATTTTCTTCTGTGTGTGCTTTATATTCTTCATGTGTTTTAATTGTTGATTCTCTGACCTGTGTTGGTGATTTCAATGGTTTTGTTAAGTCCTCTGAGATGACTTCTGTTGTGACCTAGGGCTATACAAGAATAAATTGTATTGTATTGTCTTGTACAGAAGCTCCTCCTGGTCTCAGGGGCCACACATGTCATCAGGTCGGGCCTCACCACAACCCTGCGAATGCATCAGGGCAGGTCCTCAGAGACACACACAGACAGACACACTCACACACACAAGTACACACACACAGACACACACACAGTGCGCAGCCTATTGTGATTCTGCATCACAGCTGCACTTATCTCCTGCAGAAGTGTGAGGCTCAGGGGCCCCTGGTCGGCCCCTCAAAGCCTCAGGGGCCTCAGGTTCTGACAGCTGCCACAGGCCACTGTCCAACAGACACATGAGGCCAGGACCTGAGGCCAGGACCTGAGGCCAGGACCTGAGGCCAGGACCTGAGGCCAGGACCTGAGGCCAGGACCTGAGGCCAGGACCTGAGGCCAGGACCTGAGGCCAGGACCTGAGGCCAGGACCTGAGGCCAGGACCTGAGGCCAGGACCTGAGGCCAGGACCTGAGGCCAGGACCTGAGGCCAGGACCTGAGGCCAGGACCTGAGGCCAGGACCTGAGGCCAGGACCTGAGGCCAGGACCTGAGGCCAGGACCTGAGGCCAGGACCTGAGGCCAGGACCTGAGGCCAGGACCTGAGGCCAGGACCTGAGGCCAGGACCTGAGGCCAGGACCTGAGGCCAGGACCTGAGGCCAGGACCTGAGGCCAGGACCTGAGGCCAGGACCTGAGACCAGGACCTGAGACCAGGACCTGAGACCAGGACCTGAGACCAGGACCTGAGACCAGGACCTGAGACCAGGACCTGAGACCAGGACCTGAGACCAGGACCTGGAAGCCAGGTACCATCAGATCACTGCTCAGCTGGTCCTGGTTAGTGCTGTGCTATATTAATAAATAAATAGATACTTTAATGAACCAGCAGCAGAAACACAACCAACACACACACACACACACACACACACACACACTTTATTTTGAAGAAGTTGTAAAGATGAACACACCGATGTCAGCTCCTGAGTGTAAACAGCGCTTCTTTGATCCTCCAGGTCAGGGGTCTCCAGCCTGTAGCTTGGGAGCTACCAGTAGCTCTCCAACCTCTTTCAAGTAGCTCCCCCAAGAATTTAGCATCGAACACATTGTTAGGATTTAGCAGACAGAGACGGATCGTGGTGTGCCAAACTCTGGAAGTTTATTTAAGTTTCTCTCAAGTTCCACTGTTTTACTCTGTTTCTTTCCCTCAGACAGAATAAAGGCAGTACACAGTTTATATAGTCATTGTCACGTCACACATCGAAAGACATACGTGTCACAAAGAGACAGTCACATCATAGTCATAACATGGAGTCCTTGTAGAGTCCTTGTACAGTCCTGCACGTAGGCCATATTGCTATCTAATACTAATAACATGATCCTGAATGAACAGGCCATTTTACATGTTTTTATAACTGCAACAAAGAGTAGCTCTCTCCTCTTCTGTTGTGCAACATTAGCTCTCTCCTCTTCTGTTGTGTAAAAGTAGCTCTCTCCTCTTCTGTTGTGTAAAAGTAGCTCTCTCCTCTTCTGTTGTGTAACAGTAGCTCCCTCCTCTTCTGTTGTGCAACATTAGCTCTCTCCTCTTCTGTTGTGTAACAGTAGCTCTCTCCTCTTCTGTTGTGTAACAGTAGCTCTCTCCTCTTCTGTTGTGCAACATTAGCTCTCTCCTCTTCTGTTGTGTAACAGTAGCTCCCTCCTCTTCTGTTGTGTAACAGTAGCTCCCTCCTCTTCTGTTGTGTAACAGTAGCTCTCTCCTCTTCTGTTGTGCAACATTAGCTCTCTCTTCTGTTGTGTAAAAGTAGCTCTCTCCTCTTCTGTTGTGTAACAGTAGCTCCCTCCTCTTCTGTTGTGTAACAGTAGCTCTCTCCTCTTCTGTTGTGTAACAGTAGCTCTCTCCTCTTCTGTTGTGCAACATTAGCTCTCTCCTCTTCTGTTGTGTAACAGTAGCTCCCTCCTCTTCTGTTGTGTAACAGTAGCTCCCTCCTCTTCTGTTGTGTAACAGTAGCTCTCTCCTCTGCTGTTGTGTAACAGTAGCTCTCTCCTCTGCTGTTGTGTAACAGTAGCTCTCTCCTCTTCTGTATTTGTATTTGTATTATTAATAATATTAAGACCAGAGACCAAATGAATGGAGATCAATTGAATTGGTCTGGTCCTGTGTCTGGTCCTGGGTCTAGTCCTGTGTCTGGTCCTGGGTCTAGTCCTGTGTCTAGTCCTGTGTCTGGTCCTGTGTCTGGTCCTGTGTCTGGTCCTGTGTCTGGTCCTGGTCCTGTGTCTAGTCCTGTGTCTGGTCCTGTGTCTGGTCCTGTGTCTGGTCCTGGTCCTGGGTCTAGTCCTGTGTCTGGTCCTGTGTCTGGTCCTGGGTCTGGTCCTGGGTCTAGTCCTGTGTCTGGTCCCGTGTGCCATGAGCATAGGGAGTGAGTTGGATTTCCTCTGTAATCTGCTCCGACACCTCTGCAGACCTGGGACTAGGCAGCTGTCAGAGGATCGATACCAGCTCCAGAGGAGAGGGAGGGGGAGAGGAGAGGAGGGGGAGGGGGAGAGAGAGAGGAGGGGGAGGGGGAGAGGGATGGGGGGGGGGGATCATGGGGGTGAGAACATGAGGGTTTGGGACTGCTTTTCCTCAGGGGGGACTGGACTGAGCGGTGGACTGTTTATCTTTCCTGGACCAGCATCACGTTGGAACCATCAACAGAACCATCAACTCATCAGTCATTTATTCAGTGTTGTGGCCACGAGGTCGAAGAAGCAGATTCTGGAGACTTCAGCTGTTCTCACTCTGCCTCCTCTGGGTCACAACGTGCTACAGCAGCGCCCTCTGGTGGCTCCTCCTGGTGGTGACACAGGGAAGAGAGACCCGAGAGAGAGGAAGAGACCAAGAGAGGAAGAGACCACAGCGAGACCAAGAGAGGAAGAGACCAGAAAGAGACAGAGAGAAACGAACACACAGAGGAGACCCATAAAGAGAGAGACCCCCACACAGAGGAGACCCGTAAAAGAGAGACCCCCCACACAGAGGAGACCCGTAATGAGAGAGACCCCCACACAGAGGAGACCCGTAATGAGACCCCCCACACAGAGGAGACCCGTAAAGGAGAGACCCCCCACACAGAGGAGACCCGTAATGAGAGAGACCCCCCACACAGAGGAGACCCGTAATGAGAGAGACCCCCCACACAGAGGATACCCGTAATGAGACCCCCTCCACAGAGGATACCCGTAATGAGAGAGACCCCCCACACAGAGGAGACCCGTAATGAGAGAGACCCCCACACAGAGGACACCCGTAAAGGAGAGACCCCCCACACAGAGGAGACCCGTAATGAGAGAGACCCCCCACACAGAGACCCGCACACAGGAGACCCGTAATGAGAGAGACCCCCCACACAGAGGATACCCGTAATGAGAGAGACCCCCTCCACAGAGGATACCCGTAATGAGAGAGACCCCCCACACAGAGGAGACCCGTAATGAGAGAGACCCCCACACAGAGGACACCCGTAAAGGAGAGACCCCCCACACAGAGGAGACCCGTAATGAGAGAGACCCCCCACACAGAGGAGACCCGTAATGAGAGAGACCCCCCACACAGAGGAGACCCGTAATGAGAGAGACCCCCCAAACAGAGGAGACCCGTAATGAGAGAGACCCCCCACACAGAGGAGACCCGTAATGAGAGACCCCCCACACAGACTCAGTTCAACACATTTATTTGAGCAAATGTATCAAATTAGTTTCAATTTTACACCAATAAAATAAGTTTCTTCACAGTTCACGTCACATTTGGCAAAAACTAAGAAAATCTAAAACTAACAAATTTACAAAGCACTCCCTCTCCCCCCAGAGCAGGGGCGATCAAATGCATCTGTTAACGAGCAAATAATTAATTAATAATTAAGACGGGGTCCAAACGAAGTCGTTATGATACATTAATGATTCAAAGATAAAGTCAGAGCCAACTATAACACCCTTTAAAGGTTAGCACTGAGAGACCAGAGGGAGACCAGAAAGAGACCAGAGGGAGACCAGAGGGAGACCAGGGGGAGACGAGAGAGAGAACAGAGAGAGACCAGAGAGAGACCAGAGAGAGACCAGAGGGAGACCAGAGGGAGACCAGAGGGAGACCAGAGAGAGACCAGAGGGAGCAGAGTTGTGGTTATGGCACAGACCGTCTCAAACCGCTGTTGCTTCGTTGGCAAAAATATTGATCAAACCAGAAAAAGAAAAGATCTAAACTTTAAAAACCATGTTTTTGATCCAGAAACAAAGAAACCAGAAAAATTCAAAATGTTTCTTTTGAGTTTTTCAAACTCTTCATTTCTTCTCCTTTCTCTTGTCCTGAAACAGAAGGAAACGTCAGACACAAGCCTCACACCTGCCTCAGGAGGTCCCCCCCTGTCCCTCCCCCGTCTCCCCTGTCCCTCCCCTGTCCCCTGTCTCCCCCTCACCTTGTCGTTCATGGCCAGGATGACCATGAGTTTCCTGAAGATGGTGATGAAGTCCAGGAACAGGTCCACACAGTGCCTGAACAGAGACAGACACAGTCAGACCTACGGTCCGGGTCTACGGTCCGGGTCTACGGTCCTGGTGATGTCACACTAACCACACATAGTCCTTGTCTCCGTTCTCTGCTTTCTCGATGATGAGCTGAGTGTCGAACAGGACGAACCCACACATGACGATCAGACCCAGGTACATGTGCATCTGAGAGAGCACAGGTACAGGTGTGAGGAGAGAGCACAGGTACAGGTGTGAGGAGAGAGCACATGTACAGGTAAGAGGAGAGAGCACAGGTACAGGTGAGAGAGCACATGTACAGGTAAGAGGAGAGAGCACAGGTACAGGTGAGAGGAGAGAGTACAGGTGAGAGAGCACATGTACAGGTGAGAGGAGAGAGCACAGGTACAGGTGAGAGGAGAGAGCACAGGTACAGGTGAGAGGAGAGAGCACAGGTACAGGTGAGAGGAGAGAGCACAGGTACAGGTGAGAGGAGAGAGCACAGGTACAGGTGAGAGGAGAGAGCACAGGTACAGGTGAGAGGAGAGAGCACAGGTACAGGTGAGAGGAGAGAGCACAGGTACAGGTGAGAGGAGAGAGCACAGGTACAGGTGAGAGGAGAGAGCACAGGTACAGGTGAGAGGAGAGAGCACAGGTACAGGTGAGAGGAGAGAGCACAGGTACAGGTGAGAGGAGAGCGCACAGGTACATGTCTCTCTGTGTCCCTGTGTGTGAGTATCTGTGTGTGTGTCCATGTGAGTATCTGTGTGTGTGTCCATGTGAGTATCTGTGTGTGTGTGTCCATGTGAGTATCTGTGTGTGTGTCCATGTGAGTATCTGTGTGTGTGTGTCCATGTGAGTATCTGTGTGTGTGTCCATGTGAGTATCTGTGTGTGTGTGTCCATGTGAGTATCTGTGTGTGTGTGTGTCCGTGTGTGTATCTGTGTGTGTGTAGGTGTGTAGCTGGACTCACCTTGAACACCATGACGGAGCCCATGAAGAGGTTCACCAGCGACAGAACGCAGAGCAGAGAGAGACCGGACATCAGGGTTCCTACACACACACACACACACACACACACACAGAGACACACTCGTCAGTCCCGGCGTCTCCCCTGGCGTCTCCCCTGGCGTCTCCCCTGGTGTCTCCCCTGGCGTCTCCCCTGGCGTCTCCCCTGGCGTCTCCCCTGGCGTCTCCCCTGGCGTCTCCCCTGGCGTCTCCCCTGGCGTCTCCCCTGGCGTCTCCCCTGGCGTCTCCCCTGGCGTCTCCCCTGGTGTCTCCCCTGGTGTCTCCCCTGGTGTCTCCCCTGGTGTCTCCCCTGGTGTCTCCCCTGGTGTCTCCCCTGGTGTCTCCCCTGGTGTCTCCCCTGGCGTCTCCCCTGGCGTCTCCCCTGGCGTCTCCCCTGGCGTCTCCCCTGGCGTCTCCCCTGGCGTCTCCCCTGGCGTCTCCCCTGGCGTCTCCCCTGGCGTCTCCCCTGGCGTCTCCCCTGGCGTCTCCCCTGGCGTCTCCCCTGGCGTCTCCCCTGGTGTCTCCCCTGGCGTCTCCCCTGGCGTCTCCCCTGGTGTCTCCCCTGGTGTCTCCCCTGGTGTCTCCCCTGGTGTCTCCCCTGGTGTCTCCCCTGGTGTCTCCCCTGGTGTCTCCCCTGGTGTCTCTTACCTCCCAGGAACAGGTAGCTGCGGCGCTGGGCGTAGAGAGCGCTCAGAGTGAAACACACAAAGATCACAGAGGTTCCCAGGAACGCGGTCACCACCAGGCTGCAGAGAGGCACAACTGAGACCAAGCCAGACCAAGCCAGACCGAGCCGGACCGAAACGGACCGAGACGGACTGAGACTGACTCTACTGTTCTGATCCAAAGTGAGTAAAACAAACCTGGGGTTGACGGCGATAACAAAGTCCAGAGTGGGACCAAGGCCGAGACCTGAGGACAGAGCGGATCAGAGACGTCAGAATGGAACAGAGAGGAGCTCGGAGGAGAGCCACTGCTCCTCCATTCAGAGAGGATCCAGAAGTTCATTCTGGGTGTGCTCAAAAATATATTAAAAATACGGTATTACTGCTGTAGTTGTTTTTTATTACTGTTGTGTTACTGTCGTGTAGTAGTTGTGTGGTAGTTGTTGTGTGACTCTGCAGTAGTTGTTGTGTAGTCGTGTGACTCTGCAGTAGTTGTTGTGTAGTCGTGTGACTCTGCAGTAGTTGTTGTGTAGTCGTGTGACTCTGCAGTAGTTGTTGTGTAGTTGTGTTACCGGTGAGGAAGGCGAAGCCGGCCAGGATGCCCAGTCTCTTCTTCTCGGTCTGAGGGCTGTGAGGAGTCATGGCCAACCACATCATCAGAGCGAGAGAGCCCAGAGCAGAGAGGAGCCCACCCTGAGAGAGAGAGAGAGAGAGAGAGGGTCAGAGCCCACCCAGAGAGAGGGTCAGAGCCCCCCCTGCTCTGACTTGCTTCATCACTAACATTGTACTTTTACCTTTTACTAACAGTGTGTATTACATTGGAGCCTGTAGATCAGGGGTGCCCAAACCTTTTGCCTCCAAGGGCCAAAGTAAAAAATTGCCAGTGGGCCGTGGGCCAAATACACAGATATTATGCGTGAAACACAAATAAATGTAAATTTGATCAAGTTCCTTTAATTTTTGTTGAATGATTAAATGCATTAATCATTGTCTATCAGTGCAAATCACAGCTGAATGAATGAAAACAACACACTCTCAGTGAAGTGGAGGCTCCTGGGAAATATGCAGGTTTGAGGAGACTACAGTACGGGAAGATTCCGGTCAGAGTCAGGGTTCAGAGGAGGGAGATTTCTGTTGTAGCTTATTTACAGGTTATAATCAAATATATATATAATCATGTAACAGCTATAAATTGGGTCTATACCGTAATAGTTAAAAAACACAGCACTTATATGGTTGCTCCTAAAAAGTTACAGACATGCCCTTTAATTTTGACACAAGACGCAGCGCAGATTGTCAGATGCACAATAGACGTCACGTAACCAATAATAAACTAGCAATAGAATGATCTTTGAACTATAATTTAGCAGCAAAACCAAACATTTGAAAAAAATAAAAATAGTAGGCTGAAAAAAATGAACATAAAGGTAAGTGTGTTTGATTTAAAAACATTTTAGTGCAAGTTGATGTGAACCATGAGTGAGGCGTGTATCTCAATACAACAGTAAACAGCAGTCCAGGCGGCGTGATCGCGCGCAACCCCAGACATACGTCTGTGTGTCCAGCCAGCCTGAGGGACGCAGCTAGAAACCTCCTATATGCACGGAAAACGTTCACTTTGGGCACCCCTGCTGTAGAGTCCGCTCTAATCAGCTCGTACCTGGAAGAGGCGTGTGACCACGTGGACGTAGGCTCCGGCCGCAGACACAAACATACACACGGCCAAACTGGAATACACATTCTTCAGGTGACGCTGGGTCGAGGAGGAGCTGAGGGGGAGAGAGGGAGAGAGAGGGGAGAGATGTTAGAGTGGATTACTACATACTGCAAAATAAGTTATCAGGGCTGGACCAGGACTGGATCAGGACCGGACCAGGACTGGATCAGGACTTGACCAGGACCGGACCAGGACTGGATCAGGACTTGACCAGGACTTGACCAGGACCGGACCAGGACTCACATCTGAGAGAGCTTGAAGAGAGCGTCAAAGTTGATGTCTCGATCAAACACGTTCATGATGACGTTCCTCTGAAAACACAACATCAGGCAAGTTAAAGCTAAGGTCTGTAACTTTAGTCTCATAAATAGAAGGGACACCAGAGATACCAGAGGGAGACACCAGAGTTCCGAGAAAGACCAGATAAGACACCACGTAGACACGAGGGACCACAGAGAGACACCAGAGACACCACAGAGACCAGCAAGAGACACCAGAGGGAGACACCACAAAGTCCAGAGAAAGACCAGATAAGACACCACGTAGACACGAGGGACCACAGAGAGACACCAGAGACACCACAGAGACCAGCAAGAGACACCAGAGGGAGACACCACAAAGTCCAGAGAAAGACCAGATAAGACACCACGTAGACACGAGGGACCACATAGAGACACCAGAGACACCACAGAGACCAGCAAGAGACACCAGAGGGAGACACCACAAAGTCCAGAGAAAGACCAGATAAGACACCACGTAGACACGAGGGACCACAGAGAGACACCAGAGACACCACAGAGACCAGCAAGAGACACCAGAGGGAGACACCACAAAGTCCAGAGAAAGACCAGATAAGACACCACGTAGACACGAGGGACCACATAGAGACACCAGAGACACCACAGAGACCAGCAAGAGACACCAGAGGGAGACACCACAAAGTCCAGAGAAAGACCAGATAAGACACCACGTAGACACGAGGGACCACATAGAGACACCAGAGACACCACAGAGACCAGCAAGAGACACCAGAGGGAGACACCACAAAGTCCAGAGAAAGACCAGATAAGACACCACGTAGACACGAGGGACCACATAGAGACACCAGAGACACCACAGAGACCAGCAAGAGACACCAGAGGGAGACACCACAAAGTCCAGAGAAAGACCAGATAAGACACCACGTAGACAAGAGGGACCAGAGATAGACACCACGGAGACAAGAGGGACCAGAGATAGACACCACGGAGACAAGAGGGACCAGAGATAGACACCACGGAGACCAGAGGGACCAGGGAGAGAAACCAGAGACACCACAGAGACCAGAGACAGACAGATACCAAAAGTACATACATGTGAGAACTAGCTGTGGAGGAAGTAGGAACTAGTGACATTAATTTGCATAACTCCAGTTAATGTGGTTTGAAAGTTACCAACCCCAGTCTACGCTACTGGTTTATCTCGTTCTGTTTTAAATGAGTAAGTTCTGCCAGAGTCGGTGAAAAGTCCAGGAGTCATTGTCTATGGCCCAACAGCTGATAAGAACCTGCCTGATGACATTACTACAGTCACATGCACGACACAGCAGCAGTTTGATCTGTATTCTGATTGTAATCACCATAGCAACAGGGCATGTACCTGTCACTCACATAAAGAACAATGGTTTCAGATGTAAACATTAACTAGCTGTGAGCTAAAAGAGCAAAGGCTAACGCACCAGATCAATGTTTAACAGCTTAAAACACCAATATAACGATACTGCACTATTCACACTTTAAACTAGTCTCACAATCTCATATTTAAACCACAATCAGAAGAAAGATGGCAGATTATGAAATGACGCAGACTCCTTCGCGTTGGAACCATAAACAGCGGAGTTAGCATTAGCATTAGCTTCTGCGAGACGAGGCTGTAACGGCGCAGGACCGGTTTATTTCGACACTGTTTTAGAACTAAGTGAACGAAATGTGAAGTATTTAAAGTACTTCACGGGCCACACTCACCAGAAGTCGTGTTGTCGGCCGAAAGAACTGGAGCCGGAGCGGGTTTACTGCTGCTGCTTCTGTTTTGGTCAAACGTACGTGTCACAGCTGAGAGCGTGAAGTCTGCTACTGCGCATGCGTCAGGAGCGCCGCCATCTTACGAGTACCTAACTTTGTTCTCATAATACATGTAGATTGCGCAACAGAAAGAGTCTTGTAAACGTAGACTAAAAAATCAGACACAACATGTGGTCTTTATCATGTAAGAAAGAAAACACGTTCTCTTCTGTGTAAGAGCCCTGTGAGTCACTATTTGACTCTTTGAGCTGAGTCAGGGTGATTCTTTCGTTTTCACTTTTAGTTTGACTATGCAGATCTAAAGATAGTTTATGGAATAAACTTCAAAAAGAAGTGAAAGTGTCGGGAGTACAAAAACACATAAAAGCTAAGCTACAATGTTGAAGAAGTGGGGCGACAGTGGCTCAGTTGGCAGAGCATTGGCCTTTGAGCCTGAAAGTTGTGGGTTTGAGCCCACCACAAAACCTTCTCCACCGACTCCACCGGCTGATGACTGCTGTTGTTGTGTCCTTGTGCAAAACACTTATTGTGCAACGATGACAACAAAACTTCCACTGAGGCGCAAATAGAGGTTTATCTGATCTTATAATAAACCATGGTACTTCTTACATCAGCGCTGCACGTCAATCATAATAATCAAAAAATGTAGTTATTTATTTATTTCATTCAAAGTGACATCCAATCACAACAACACCACACTGTCTGAATGAAACGGAGCAGAGAAGAACAACAAGTCTGATATAATATCTGCTCCTTTTCTGTCTGTACGTATATGCACATGTGTATAAATACATGTATTTACAGTGTTTTTTGTAATCAGTCTTTACAGTTTTTTTTATATTTTTATTCTGGTATATGAGTGTGTTCACAGTAAAGTGACAATTGAAGTATCTGGACTTTAAAAGGTTATAACTTAAAAACTAAAATTACTTTCATAGATTGGAAAAAAAGATTTCAAACACAGACAGATTGAAGAGATAGTGTAAAAAAAAAACAAAAGGAAAGATTGACATACATTTTTTTAGCAACATTTTAAACGACCAAATTAGCCTCTGATTGGACCATTCTACTGTGACGCCAGTTACATACTGTAGAAAAAAAAATGTCCTCAGTCTGAAAAAGCAGAAGATGAAATCCCACAAGATTTACATGGTTAACACAACAGAAGGAAATCACTTGATATAAAAAGGAATCGTGAAAAAATAAAAATTAATTAATTAATTAAATGACCCCTGAAAAATGTATAACGGACGTGATGAGGACGGTCCTCTTTTCTCTAAAAATTAAACTTGAGAAAAAAAAAATCTGGTCTGTTTTCACATTTAATTGGTTGACAATATGAAAGTATCACTTTGCATCTACTTTGTGTAAAAAAATAGAATCTCTGAATCAAATGTGGACATCTGAAAATGCCTATCAAACTTCCACAAAGCTCATTCCGTCAAATCATCACGTCCGTTACATAAAATAAACAGGGCACTATAGGAAACTTGTCTAATGTATAAAACAGTTTTGTTCTAGCAACTTCTAAAGAACAGAGGAGGTGTTGGAAACATGAAAAACATAAAATATCTTCTGATTATTAAAATCTAATTTTTAGCCTTTTGTCACACTTTTGTGCCCTTTAGTGTGAACAAGCCCATATACATTATGTCAAAAACAAACAAACCATCCTATACGTTGCATGTTCAAATCAAATCTCACATTACTCTTGCTCAAGTCTAATTTTCATACTTCTTAAATATCCATCCATTTTCTACCCCTTTATCCATTTCTGGGTCGGGGGGTTGCCAGAGTTCACACAGCACCAGCCCCTCTCTGATCCTCCTGCAGCTGGTGAGTCCACAGGAACCTTGATCTTTCAATGGGGGCTTCAGGCTAAGTGGGGCTAAAGCAGAATAATGATAATAATTTTTTTTTTTTCAGTAAGTAATCTTTATTTATATAGCGCATTTCACAAACCAGAGTCACAAACCACTTTTTTAATTTTTCATTATTATTATTTTTCATTATTATTTTCAACTGTCAGAAAAATAATCAGTTTAACATGAAAATACAAGATACACTTACATAACTAGTGTACCACCCCACCCTCCCTCATCCCCCATTCACACGCACTCACTCATTCACACTCGCTCACCCATTCACACTCGCTCACTCATTCACACTCGCTCACCCATTCACACTCCCTCACTCATTCACACTCACTCATTCACACTCACTCATTCACACTCCCTCACTCATTCACACTCACTCATTCACACTCCCTCACTCATTCACACTCGCTCACTCATTCACACTCACTCACTCATTCACACTCGCTCACTCATTCACACTCTCTCACTCATTCACACTCGCTCACTCATTCACACTCACTCACTCATTCACACTCGCTCACTCATTCACACTCGCTCACTCATTCACACTCCCTCACTCATTCACACTCGCTCACCCATTCACACTCCCTCACTCATTCACACTCACTCACTCATTCACACTCGCTCACTCATTCACACTCGCTCACTCATTCACACTCACTCACTCATTCACACTCCCTCACTCATTCACACTCACTCACCCATTCACACTCGCTCACCCATTCACACTCACTCATTCACACTCGCTCACCCATTCACACTCCCTCACTCATTCACACTCACTCATTCACACTCACTCATTCACGCTCACTCATTCACACTCACTCATTCACACTCCCTCACTCATTCACACTCCCTCACTCATTCACACTCACTCACTCATTCACACTCCCTCACTCATTCACACTCCCTCACTCATTCACACTCACTCACTCATTCACACTCACTCCCTCATTCACACTCCCTCACTCATTCACACTCGCTCACTCATTCACACTCGCTCACTCATTCACACTCACTCACTCATTCACACTCGCTCACCCATTCACACTCACTCACTCATTCACACTCACTCACCCATTCACACTCACTCACTCATTCACACTCACTCACTCATTCACACTCGCTCACTCATTCACACTCACTCACTCATTCACACTCACTCACTCATTCACACTCACTCACCCATTCACACTCCCTCACTCATTCACACTCACTCACTCATTCACACTCGCTCACTCATTCACACTCGCTCACTCATTCACACTCACTCACTCATTCACACTCCCTCACTCATTCACACTCACTCACCCATTCACACTCGCTCACCCATTCACACTCACTCATTCACACTCGCTCACCCATTCACACTCCCTCACTCATTCACACTCACTCATTCACACTCCCTCACTCATTCACACTCACTCATTCACACTCCCTCACTCATTCACACTCACTCATTCACACTCCCTCACTCATTCACACTCCCTCACTCATTCACACTCACTCACTCATTCACACTCCCTCACTCATTCACACTCCCTCACTCATTCACACTCACTCACTCATTCACACTCACTCACTCATTCACACTCCCTCACTCATTCACACTCGCTCACTCATTCACACTCGCTCACTCATTCACACTCACTCACTCATTCACACTCGCTCACCCATTCACACTCACTCACTCATTCACACTCACTCACCCATTCACACTCACTCACTCATTCACACTCACTCACTCATTCACACTCGCTCACTCATTCACACTCACTCACTCATTCACACTCACTCACTCATTCACACTCACTCACTCATTCACACTGTATTTTAATTGTCCTGTTTAAGGAAATGATGCTGTTTTCCAGGGACCCTGATTTTGATGGTAAAACAGATTCCTAAACCAGGTCCAGTCCAGGCGGTTTCCGCACATTTACGCACAACACATGTTAGAGAACAACAATCCTTCTGCCAAATCTGCACCTTCACAACGTCACATTTCCACCTCTGGAACTGGACCAAAAAGATTCAGACTCTGATGGAACACGACAAAAAGTACTTTAGGGCCTCGAGCTCCTGGGCTTTGATGGTAACATTCATATAACTCACATATACGAGACACTTTACACTGGTCTTATAGTTTTTATCTACTGTAAAAAGTGTTAAGTTATGTGTCTGTCTGTCTCTAGTCTCTCTCTGGTCTCTCTCGCTGGTCTCTCTCTGGTCTCTCTCTCTGGTCTCTCTCTGGTCTCTCTCTGATCTCTCTCTAGTGTCTCTCTGGTCTCTCTCTGGTCTCTCCCTGCTCTCTCTCTCTCTGGTCTCTCTCTAATCTCTCTCTGGTCTCTCTCTGCTCTCTCTCTCTCTGGTCTCTCTCTGGTCTCTCTCTGTCTCTGGTCTGTCTCTGGTCTCTCTCTCTGATCTCTCTCTGGTCTCTCTCTGGTCTCTCTCTGGTCTCTCTCTCTCTGGTCTCTCTCTCCTCTCTCTCTCTCTGGTCTCTCTCTGTCTCTGGTCTGTCTCTGGTCTGTAGGGCCCTGGATAATCCACCAGATGTCGCTGTTGGCTCATGAAACATACAGAGGTCCTGATGTTGAAAGAGACCAAAGAGAAACCAGAGAGACCAGAGAGAGACCAAAGAGAAACCAGAAAGACCAGAGAGAGACCAAAGAGAAACCAGAGAGAAACCAGAGAGACCAGAAAGAGACCAGAGAGAAACCAGAGAGACCAGAGAGAGACCAAAGAGAAACCAGAAAGACCAGAGAGAGACCAGAGAGAAACCAGAGAGACCAGAGAGAAACCAGAGAGACCAGAGAGAGACCAAAGAGAAACCAGAAAGACCAGAGAGAGACCAAAGAGAAACCAGAGAGAAACCAGAGAGACCAGAGAGAGACCAGAGAGAGACCAGAGAGACCAGAGAGAGACCAAAGAGAAACCAGAAAGACAAGAGAGAGACCAAAGAGAAACCAGAGAGACCAGAGAGAGACCAAAGAGAAACCAGAAAGACCAGAGAGAGACCAAAGAGAAACCAGAAAGACCAGAGAGAGACCAAAGAGAAACCAGAGAGACCAGAGAGAGACCAAAGAGAATCACATTCTGTTCAACTACAGTTCCTCATCCTCTTACAGACAGTTTCCATCATATTTTCCACAAGAAGAACTTTCTAAAGGAAAGAGCAGAACATGCAACAACCCAAACTCTGAGGTCAGAGCTTCATTCACCCGATCACAGCTCCACGGCTCTGTTCAGTGTAAACAGTGGGGTCTCTGTGTGTGGAGAGTTCACAGGTCTCTGAGCCCATGATGAACCAAAACAAAACATTTTCTTAGAATTCATCTTCCTCCGTCCCCCCTCCCTCTCCCTTACGTGTTTGTGGAAGAGCCTCCCCCTCCCTCCTCCCCCTCCCTCCTCCCCCTCCCTCCCCCCCCCCCTCCTCTCCCTCCCCCTCCCCCTCCCCCCCCCCCCCCCCCCCCCCCCCCTCCCCCCTGATGGAGTGCCCCCCCCTCTTTGTTACTGATGTGAGAACAGGTCAAGGTAATGATCATAAATAAGGCACTTGTACAACATTCACTCAGGGACTAATGCAGGTCTAAACCAGGACTAAAGCAGATCTAAACCAGGACTAAAGCAGGTCTAAACCAGGACTAAAGCAGGTCTAAACCAGGACTAATGCAGGTCTAAACCAGGACTAAAGCAGATCTAAAGCAGGACTAAAGCAGGTCTAAAGCAGGACTAAAGCAGGTCTAAACCAGGACTAATGCAGGTCTAAACCAGGACTAAAGCAGGTCTAAACCAGGACTAAAGCAGGTCTAAACCAGGTCTAAACCAGGACTAAAGCAGGAATAAACCAGGTCTAAACCAGGTCTAAATCAGGTATAAAGCAGGACTAAAGCAGGTCTAAAGCAGGACTAAAGCAGGTCTAAAGTAGGTCTAAAGCAGGTCTAAAGCAGGTCTAAAGCAGGACTAAAGCAGGACTAAAGCAGGACTAAAGCAGGACTAAAGCAGGTCTAAAGCAAGTATAAAGCAGGACTAAAGCAGGTCTAAAGCAGGTCTATGGCAGGACTAAAGCAGGACTAAAGCAGGACTAAAGCAGGACTAAAGCTGGACTAAAGCAGGTCTAAAGCAGATATAAAGCAGGACTAAAGCAGGTCTAAAACAGGTTTAAAGCAGGACTAAAACAGGTCTAAAGCAGGACTAAAGCAGGTCTAAAGCAGGACTAAAGCAGGACTAAAGCAGGACTAAAGCAGGTCTAAAGCAGGACTAAAGCAGTTCTATAGCAGGACAAAAGCAGGTCTAAAGCAGGTCTAAAACAGGTCTAAAGCAGGTCTGAAGCAGGTCTAAACCAGGACTAAACCAGGTCTAAACCAGGACTAAAGCAGGTCTAAACCAGGACTAAAGCAGGTCTAAAGCAGGTATAAAGCAGGTCTAAACCAGGACTAAAGCAGGTCTAAAGCAGGTCTAAAGCAGGTCGAAACCAGGATTAAAGCAGGTCTAAAGCAGGTCTAAAACAGGACTAAAGCAGGACTAAAGCAGGTATAAAGCAGGACTAAAGCAGGACTAAAGCAGGACTAAAGCAGGACTAAAGCAGGTCTAAAGCAGGACTAAAGCAGGTCTAAAGCAGGACTAAAGCAGGTCTAAAGCAGGACTAAAGCAGGTCTAAAGCAGGTCTAAAGCAGGCTTAAAGCAGGTCTACAACAGGTCGAAAGCAGGACTAAAACAGGTCTAAAGCAGGTCTAAAGCAGGACTAAAGCAGGACTAAAGCAGGACTAAAGCAGGTCTAAATCAGGTATAAAGCAGGACTAAAGCAGGTCTAAAGCAGGACTAAAGCAGGACTAAAGCAGGTTCTAAAGCAGGTCTAAAGCAGGTCTAAAGCAGGACTAAAGCAGGACTAAAGCAGGACTAAAGCAGGACTAAAGCAGGTCTAAAACAGGTCTAAAGCAGGACTAAAGCAGGACTAAAGCAGGTATAAAGCAGGACTAAAGCAGGACTAAAGCAGGTCTAAAGCAGGACTAAAGCAGGTCTAAAGCAGGTATAAAGCAGGACTAAAGCAGGACTAAAGCAGGACTAAAGCAGGTCTAAAGCAGGTCTAAAGCAGATCTAAAGCAGGACTAAAACAGGTCTAAAGCAGGTCTAAAGCAGGACTAAAGCAGGACTAAAGCAGGTCTAAACCAGGACTAATGCGGGTCTAAACCAGGACTAAAGCAGGTCTAAAGCAGGACTAAAGCAGGACTAAAGCAGGTCTAAAGCAGGTCTAAAGCAGGTCTAATGCAGGTCTAAAGCAGGACTAAAGCAGGACTAAAGCAGGTCTAAAGCAGGTCTAATGCAGGTCTAAACCAGGACTAAAGCAGGACTAAAGCAGGTCTAGGGCAGGTCAATAAAAGGTCTAAAGCAGGTCTAAAGCAGGACTAAAGCAGGACTAAAGCAGGTCTAGGGTAGGACTAAAGCAGGTCAATAAAAGGTGTAAAGCAGGTCTAAAGCAGGACTAAACTAGGACTAAACCAGGACTAGACCACATGGTACTTGGGCCCGGTCAGAATGACGTGTTTGATTCAGTTTCTCTTTTCTTTCTGAAACTTTCTCTTGATGAAAGTTCAAAGCCTCAGAAAACGAATGCGAGCCGTGAGTGTCGGGAGGCTCCGCGGACCAGGCCCTAAATCAGGCCCTGGCACCGGGGGAAGGCTCGACTGTCACCGCGCCAACCATAATATTATTACAAGAGCTCATTCATTTAACTGGGAGTGACACCTTTCAGACGAGTGAGTGCAGAAGAAACCAGCACCAGACCGTGAGTCAGACCAGGACTAAAGCTGTCCTCTTTGGTTCAGCACATGGTAAAGCAGGAAATACTACCTTAAAAACACAGATTGTCAGTGACGCTGCAGATGGAGCCCCCTGCTGGAGAAGTCTGGTAACAGCACTGTCTTTTTCTACTGTATTATTATCATTATGACTTTAGCTGTAGTCTGTTCATTGCTATTGACCCACTGTCATCGTCTGTGTCATGGCGAAATGACGGGACCCTGAATCCGTCCTCCTCAACCTGCGACTATAAACTGGTCCTCAGTCCTGGGTCTACAGCTTCAGTTTTCGGTCTACAGCCTCAGTCCTGGGTCTAAAGCCTCAGTCCTGGATCTACAGCCTCAGTCCTGGGTCTACAGCCTCAGTCCTGGGTCTAAAGCCTCAGTCCTGGATCTACAGCCTCAGTCCTGGGTCTACAGCCTCAGTCCTGGGTCTACAGCCTCAGTCCTGGGTCTACAGGCGGCACGGTGGCTGAGTGGATAGCACTCTCGCCTCTCAGCAAGAAGGTCCTGGGTTCGAATCCCGGTCGGACCAGGGCCTTTCTGAGTGGAGTTTGCATGTTCTCCCCGTGTCTGCGTAGGTTTCCTCCGGGTACTCCGGTTTCCCCTACCACTAAAAATATGTCCAATAGTTCTGGCATGTGCCTCCTGTACTGGCCCCGCTCCCATCTCTGTGTGGAGTGAGAGACTAATGCCCAAAAAAAATAACAATTGTAAACCGCTTTGTGACTCAGCTCTGCAGTGAAAAGGCGGTATATAAATAATTACATAGATACATAGATACAGCCTCAGTCCTGGGTCTACAGCCTCAGTCCTGGGTCTACAGCCTCAGTCCTGGGTCTACAGCCTCAGTCCAGGGTCTACAGCCTCAGTCCTGGGTCTACAGCCTCAGTCCTGGGTCTACAGCCTCAGTCCTGGGTCTACAGCCTCAGTCCTGGGTCTACAGCCTCTGGTGTGACGCAGTGTTTGAGGTCGCAAGGCGGGTTGAATGCCCAGTTCGTGTCCTCAGTGGGAACTTGGCGTCTCACAGAAAAAGCTGCATATTTCTGTCTCCAGTCAAACGTATGTGTTTTCTGCTGGTGCGCTGGACGGCAGGTTGAGACGCCTTCCCACGCGGCTTCACCTGTCGCGGCTGACGGGTTTCCCCAAAACTCCCGTCTTCAGCGACCCTCACTTCCTGTTCACTTCCTGCTGATAAAACACCAGGAGTTTTATTTAGCAGCGCGACGGCGAGGAAGTGAAGCGCCGCGGCTAAATATACTGTCCCACAAAAACAATGGGGCAAAACTGGACCGTTTCAGTCAATTAATCTCCTTTAAAGCTGGGGACGTGACTTTAAAGCTGGGGGACGTGACTTTAAAGCTGGGGGACGTGACTTTAAAGCTGAGGGACGTGACTTTAAAGCTGGGGGACGTGACTTTAAAGCTGGGGGACGTGACTTTAAAGCTGAGGGACGTGACTTTAAAGCTGGGGGACGTGACTTTAAAGCTGGGGGACGTGACTTTAAAGCTGAGGGACGTGACTTTAAAGCTGAGGGACGTGACTTTAAAGCTGGGGGACGTGACTTTAAAGCTGGGGGACGTGACTTTAAAGCTGAGGGACGTGACTTTAAAGCAGGGGTTGTGGCTTTAAAGCTGGGATACGGGACTTTAAAGCTGGGTTTGTGACTTTAAAGCTGGGATACAGGACTTTAAAGCTGGGTTTGTGACTTTACATTTTAGGAAAGAACCGCCCTCTCCAGTTCTGGAGCAAACCTCTCTGGTCTTATTGGACGAGCACGTATCACCAGAATGATTGACAGTTGGGAGGACCAATAGTCTTGATGATCCACCCGGGGGTAGAAAATCCTCTATGTACTTTTAATATACAGATGAAGAGATCCTGTGTGTGTCCCACTGTGGGGAAATGTCAGTGTTGCCTCGCACAGTTACAGAGCAGTAGAAGGAGGAGCACCAGAGAAATGAACAATAACTATATGATAAAATAACATCTCTAACTTTAGCAAAACAAAGAAGTTATTATGAAATAGTGTAAATTCAAGTGAAAAAGTGTACAGTTGTATGTTTACATCTGAACGTGGTGCAGCAGGAGGTTCTGGGAGAGTGACACATGGTTCTGGGAGAGTGACACATGGTTCTATATTGCACATTCTGACATTAGTTCAAGTTATTGCACAAATGTACGACACATGAGGTCAGGTGTTTGTTAATCCTCATTGTTCGTTGTACAGTCTGACAGCAGTGGGAAGGAACGACCTGCAGAACCTCTCTTTTACACCTTAAGGGTGGATCAGTCTGTTGCTGGAGCTACTCTCCAGAGCAGACAGTGTCCTGCAGGGGGCGACATGGTCCAGATGTTAGTTTATCCTCCTGACTCCACCTCCAGCACTGTGTCCAGGGAACAAGACAGAGCTTTGAGGTTACATACGCCAGACGGGAAGAAGCTGGAACAGGTTCTCCTGTCTGGGGTACATGACGTTAAAGCTGGGGTTTGTGACTTTTCACAACGTCAGAACTCTGAAATAAATTTTGTGGCACGAGCTCCTGGCTCTAAAACAGTTTCTGGACTGTACTAAAGCCAAAGATAATACACATTATAGATCTAGTCCTGGTCCAAATCTTGGTCTTGATCTTCATGGGTCACTCCCAAATAGAGCAGAGAGAGAGACCAGAGAGAGAGACCAGAGAGAGGGACCAGAGGGAGACCAGAGAGAGAGACCAGAGAGAGGGACCAGAGGGAGACCAGAGAGAGAGACCAGAGAGAGAGCAGAGAGAGACCAGAGAGAGACCAGAGAGAGACCAGAAAGAGACCAGAGAGAGAGATCAGAGAGAGAGACCAGAGAGAGAGACCAGAGGGAGACCAGAGGGAGACCAGAGAGAGACCAGAGAGAGAGACCAGAGAGAGAGCAGAGAGAGACCAGAGAGAGACCAGAGAGAGACCAGAGAGAGAGTTCAGAGAGAGACCAGAGAGAGACCAGAGAGAGAGAGATCAGAGAGAGACCAGAGAGAGACCAGAGAGAGACCAGAGAGAGACCAGAGAGAGAGATCAGAGAGAGACCAGAGAGAGACCAGAGAGAGAGACCAGGGAGAGACCAGAGAGAGACCAGAGAGAGACCAGAGAGAGACCAGAGAGAGAGAGCAGAGAGAGAGACCAGAGGGAGACCAGAGGGAGACCAGAGAGAGACCAGAGAGAGAGATCAGAGAGACCAGAGAGAGACCAGAGAGAGACCAGAGAGAGACCAGAGAGAGAGATCAGAGAGAGACCAGAGAGAGACCAGAGAGAGAGATCAGAGAGAGACCAGAGAGAGACCAGAGAGAGACCAGAGAGAGAGACCAGGGAGAGAGCAGAGAGAGACCAGAGAGAGACCAGAGAGAGAGAGCAGAGAGAGACCAGAGAGAGAGATCAGAGAGAGACCAGAGAGAGACCAGAGAAAGACCAGAGAGAGACCAGAGAGAGACTAGAGAGAGACCAGAGGGAGACCAGAAAGAGAGACCAGAGAGAGAGAGACCAGCGAGAGAGACCAGAGAGAGAGACCAGAGAGAGACCAGAGAGAGACCAGAGAGAGACCAGAGGGAGACCAGAGAGAGAGACCAGAGAGAGAGAGACCAGAGAGAGAGACCAGAGAGAGACCAGAGAGAGACCAGAGGGAGAACAGAAAGAGAGACCAGAGAGAGAGACCAGAGAGAGAGACCAGAGAGAGACCAGAGAGAGACCAGAGAGAGACCAGAGAGAGACCAGAGAGAGACCAGAGGGAGACCAGAGAGAGACCAGAGAGAGACCAGAGAGAGACCAGAGGGAGACCAGAGAGAGGCTGTGAGTGGAGCTAGATCGAGCCAAGTTTGAAGACGATAAGAGACAATAAAATCCCCACAGAATCCTCCTTTTTGAAAGATGTATTTCTGTGTCTGAGTGCACAATCAATGTGGATTTAGGCTGCAGTACCACAGGTGGCCTGTAGTCCATGTGGCGACAGCAGCAGTACTATTCAGATAATTGAGTAGGTGGTTATCCTTCACCTCTGCTTCCTGTTTCCTGTCTCTGAAAAGGAAACTATCGCCTCCGTGTGGCGGAAGTCGTTGGATTGAGTTCATCCATCACTGAGTCCAGGGTTATTTATGACCTCACAGACAGAGACCAGAGAGAGACCAGAGAGAGACAAGAGAGAGACCAGAGAGAGACCAGAGAGAGAGACCAGAGAGAGAGACCAGAGAGAGACCAGAGAGAGAGACCAGAGAGAGACCAGAGAGAGACCAGAGAGAGACCAGAGAGAGACCAGAGAGAGACCAGAGAGAGACCAGAGAGAGAGACCAGAGAGAGAGACCAGAGAGAGAGACCAGAGAGAGACCAGAGAGAGACCAGAGAGAGAGACCAGAGAGAGACCAGAGAGAGAGACCAGAGAGAGAGACCAGAGAGAGACCAGAGAGAGAGACCAGAGAGAGACCAGAGAGAGAGACCCAGAGAAAGAGACCAGAGAGAGACTAGAGAGAGAGACCAGAGAGAGAGACCAGAGAGAGACCAGAGAGAGAGACCAGAGAGAGAGACCAGAGAGAGACCAGAGAGAAACACAAAAGACTGGCAGCCTTACGTCATTCTGATATTAGTTCAAGTTATTGCACAAATGTACGACACGTGAGGTCAGGTGTTTGTTAATCCTCATTGTTCGTTGTACAGTCTGACAGCAGCGGGAAGAAACGACCTGCAGAACCTCTCTTTTACACAGTGGATCAGTCTGTCACTGAAGCTACTCTCCAGAGCAGACAGTGTCCTGCAGGGGGCGACATGGTCCAGATAGATGTGGAACGGGGCTAATTCTGGTTTCTCCAACAGAAAGTAACAAATCAGTCAAAATATCATTTTTTTTTACATTAGAAAACAAGAAAAAGGCATATGAGTCACTATCTGCCTCTTTGGGCTGTACACAGATACATTGAAAAGATTTTTTTTCTGATTTCTCTTTTGACACAACACAGACACACATATTATCCTGTAAATGATCGACTTTTGAACATGAAAACCACAGAAGGTTTGGGAAAAGTGTTCTCAGAGCATCCATAGGATCTCCACAAGGGGGCGTCCTCTACGGGACTGGACTCCTGTTAGTGCCCAGAGTCAGAACTAAACATGGGGAGGCTGCTTTTCAGATTCATGCTGCTAAAATCTGGAACAATCTTCCTGAAGATGTGAGACAGGCCTCCTCTCTGACAATGTTTAAAACCAGGTTAAAAACAGTTCTGTTTAGCTGTGCATACAACTGAGGGATTTTATATTTAATGTTCTGTGATTATTTATGATTTTAATGCTTTCTTGTTTTGTTCAGCACTTTGAGTTGTCTAGTGTATGAATTGTGCAAATAAACTTGCCTTGCTTTGCCACTGTACACATGACTGCAGAGCAAGCATCAAAGTCCGGGTCAGTCTGCTGCAGGATTGAGCAGTCCTGGATCAGTCCTGGATCAGTCCTGGAGCAGTCCTGGATCAGTCCTGGAGCAGTCCTGGAGCAGTCCTGGAGCAGTCCTGGATCAGTCCTGGAGCAGTCCTGGATCAGTCCTGGAGCAGTCCTGGAGCAGTCCTGGATCAGTCCTGGAGCAGTCCTGGATCAGTCCTGGATCAGTCCTGGAGCAGTCCTGGAGCAGTCCTGGATCAGTCCTGGATCAGTCCTGGAGCAGTCCTGGAGCAGTCCTGGAGCAGTCCTGGAGCAGTCCTGGAGCAGTCCTGGATCAGTCCTGGAGCAGTCCTGGATCAGTCCTGGAGCAGTCCTGGATCAGTCCTGGAGCAGTCCTGGAGCAGTCCTGGATCAGTCCTGGAGCAGTCCTGGATCAGTCCTGGAGCAGTCCTGGAGCAGTCCTGGAGCAGTCCTGGAGCAGTCCTGGATCAGTCCTGGATCAGTCCTGGATCAGTCCTGGAGCCAGAAGGTCGTGGGTTCGAGCCCACCACAAGACTTTCTCCATCGACTCCCACTGTCTGCTGTTGTTGTGTCCTTAGGCAAGACACTTCACCCCCATTGCCTAGAATGAGTCTGGTGTGTGAATGGTTGGTGGTGGTCGGAGGGGCCGATGGCACAGACTGGTTGCCTCGCTTCTGTCAGTGTGCCCCAGGGCAGCTGTGGCTACAGCAGCAGTTTATCACCACCGTGTATGGAGTGATGAATGGTTCAAACTGGTTTAGCCTTGTTTGGACTGGTTTAGATGGATTCAAACTGGTTTATGTAAAGCGCCTTTGAGCATCCAAAAGCGCTGTATAAAACCGATGCATTATTATTATTATTTAACTTTGGGAAGTGTTCCGTCTGAGACAGTCCAAAACTGAAGTCGTTTGGAGGAAAATAGTATCAGCAACAAACCGCAGTGTTTTCCAGCAACGAGGAAAGATAAAGAACATTTGCATTATACTGTCCTGGTCCTGTCCATCTGTGACCCCCCTCCCATGGACTCTGGACTCTGATTGGTCTGAACTTTACACCTCAGATAAAAGACAGGGGATGATGTCATAGTTCAGAAGGGGGTGGAGCTTGCTTTCGTAATTCCTTTAAAGGGAAAGTCTAACGCTAAAAACAAGACCCACGGCTGTGTTTCCAAAGGTTTGGTCTGGTTCAGACTGGTTCAGACTGGTTCAGACTGGTTCAGACTGGTTCAGACTGCTTCAGACTGCTTCAGACTGGTTCAGACTACTTCAGACTGCTTCAGACTGCTTCAGACTGCTTCAGATTGCTTCAGATTGCTTGAGACTGCTTCAGACTGCTTCAGATTGCTTCAGATTGCTTCAGACTGCTTCAGACTGCTTCAGATTGCTTCAGATTGCTTCAGATTGCTTCAGATTGCTTCAGACTGGTTCAGACTGGTTCAGACTGCTTCAGACTGCTTCAGACTGCTTCAGATTGCTTCAGATTGCTTCAGATTGCTTCAGACTGCTTCAGACTGCTTCAGACTGCTTCAGATTGCTTCAGACTGCTTCAGATTGCTTCAGACTGCTTCAGACTGCTTCAGACTGCTTCAGATTGCTTCAGATTGCTTCAGACTGGTTCCGACTGCTTCAGACTGGTTCCGACTGCTTCAGACTGGTTTGGACTGGTTTAGACCAGTTTGGACCGGTTTAGAGTGGTTTAGAATGGTTCAGACTGATTTAGCCTGATTCAGCCTGATTCAGACTGATTTAGCCTGATTCAGACTAGTTCAGACTGGTTCCGACTTGTTCAGACTGGTTTATACTGGTCCATACTGCTTTAGACTGGATAAAACTGGTTTAGACTCATTAAAACTGGTGCAGAATGGTTCAAACTGATTTGTGAGGTTTATTTATATAACACATTTTACAGACCAAGGTACAGACCCAAAGCACTTTCCAATGTTCAGAGTCAGATATTGTTCCAATCCTTCCACACACGGTGATGACAGAAGCGAGTCCAGAACACACTGGTCCATCAGCTCCAACACCATCATTCACTCTCTCATTTACATTCAGACCTATTGCCACTCAGTCACCAGATTTGGGTTGGTTCAAACTGCTTCTTACTGGTTTAGACCCGTTCAGATTGGTTCAGACATGGTTTAGACAGGTTCCAACTGCTTTAAACTGCTTTAAACTGGTTCCTGCTGGTTTGGGCTTGTTTAGACTGTTTTTTTTTACTGGCTATGACTGTTTTTTCTGGTTTGGACTGGATTAGAATGGTTTTTACTGGTTTTAAACTGGTTTTAAACTGGTTCAAATGGGTTCAGCCTTGTTTGTACTTGTTTAAACAGATTCAAACTGGTTTATACTAGTTTAGAGTGGATTGAACTGGTTTAAATTGGATCAAATTGGTTTAAACTGGTTAAGACTATTTATTCTATGTCAAACTGGTTTAGACTGGTTTGGAGTTTGGACTGGTTCAGACTGGTTTAAACTTGATCAAACTGGTATACACTGGTCAAGAATGATTTATACTGGATTGAACTAGTTTAGACTAGTTTGGACTGGGTCAAACTGATTTGAACTGGTTGAGACTGATTTATACTGGATCAAACTGGTTCGGATAGGTTCAGACTGGTTTAGACTGGTTCATACTTGTTTAGACTGGATAAAACTGGTTTAGACTGGTTTGAACTGGTTCAGACTTGCGTGGAATGGTTCAGACTTCTTCAGACTAGTTTGGATTGGTTTAGACTGGATCAAACCCGTTAAGATTGGTTTAAACGGTTGTCTATACTGGTTTGTACTGGTTCTGACTTGTTTAAACTGGTTCATACTGGTTTAGACTGGTTCAAACTGGTTGAAACTGGTTTATACTAGTTTGGAATGGTTTAGACTAGATCAACCTGGTTCAGACTGGTTAAGACCTGTTTATACTGGATCAAAGTCGTTTGGACTGGTTTGGACTTATTTTTACTGGTTTGGACTTGTTGACTGCTTGGATTGTTTTGGCCTAGATTAGACTGATTTATAGTGGTTTTGACCGGGTAAAACTGGTTTGGACTGGTTCATACTGGTATGGACTGGTTTAGACTGTTCATAACTGGTTTAGACTGGTTCAGACTGGTTCATTGTGATTGAAACAATAGCAGAAAGGATTAAACCGACAAAAAGCCAAACCAGAATCACTTAAAAACCTACAATTGACAAACTGGACCATTGAACGCTACAAACACTAAAAATGTAGAAAAACAAGTACAAATGTTGCTCATGGCAGAAGCAGCGAGGGTCTGAGGGTTCTGACGTTCTCATAAAAAGGACAAAGGAAAGTCTCAGTGTGATTTTATTGGACAAATAATAAATTTTTGATAATAAAGAGTCAGATCTCACACAAACAACAGAAAAGACTTTTAGAAGAAATAATAATATCTTGTGATTCGTCAGTTTTCAGCTCTGACCCAAACAACACTTTTCTCATTTATATAATTGCACTTAAGACGATGGTCTGGTCCGGTCCAGTCCTGGTCTAGTCCAGTCTTATTCCAGTCCTGGTCGGTCCACATTGTGAGTTCTCCAGTGTTTCTTAAGAATGTGATCTGGTCTCTCTCTGGTCTCTCTTTGGTCTCTCTCTGGTCTCTCTTTGGTCTCTCTCTGGTCTCTCTCTGGTCTCTCTCTGGTCTCTCTTTGGTCTCTCTCTGGTCTCTCTTTGGTCTCTCTCTGGTCTCTCTTTGGTCTCTCTCTGGTCTCTCTCCAGTCTCTCTTTGGTCTCTCTTTGGTCTCTCTCTGGTCTCTCTTTGGTCTCTCTCTGGTCTCTCTCCAGTCTCTCTTTGGTCTCTCTCTGGTCTCTCTCTGTTCTCTCTTTGGTCTCTCTCTGGTCTCTCTCTGTTCTCTCTTTGGTCTCTCTCTGGTCTCTCTTTGTCTTTGGTCTCTCTCTGGTCTCTCTCCAGTCTCTCTTCGGTCTCTCTCTGGTCTCTCTTTGGTCTCTTTCTGGTCTCTCTCTTGTCTCTTTGGTCTCTCTCTTTTGTCTCTCTGGTCTCTTTCTTGTCGCGCTCTGGTCTCGCTCAGGTCTCTCTCTGGTCCGTCTCTTATTGGTCTCTCTGGTCTCTCTCTGCTCTCTAATTGGTCCTGGCCTCTCTCTGCTCTCTGATTGGTCCTGGCCTCTCTCTGCTCTCTGATTGGTCCTGGCCTCTCTCTGCTCTCTGATTGGTCCTAGCCTCTCTCTGCTCTCTGATTGGTCCTGGCCTCTCTCTGCTCTCTGATTGGTCCTGGCCTCTCTCTGCTCTCTGATTGGTCCTAGCCTCTCTCTGCTCTCTGATTGGTCCTGGCCTTTTTCTGCTCTCTGATTGGTCCTGGCCTCTCTCTGCTCTCTGATTGGTCCTGGCCTCTCTCTGCTCTCTGATTGGTCCTGGCCTCTCTCTGCTCTCTGATTGGTCCTGGCCACTTGTCCCGATAACAGTTTTTACAGTTCGTACATGTGTAACATGGATCTTATCAAACGCAAATATTGTCTCCATAAAAGTCAATGATCGACGGCGAGTAACGACCTGGAACCATAAACGGACCATAAACGCTCAGCTCAGCTCTGCTCACAGATATCACAAATATTGCTGTGTGTGGTTAAATATGTAGTCATTCATTATTCTTATGGTCCTATTTTTAAATGGTCCTTCAGCAATACACAAGATGGCCGCCACTGAGCATCAGATCCATAAACACCAGGATTACGGTCAGATTAAAGCTCAGATTCTAGTTTTAGTTTGTTGCTAATTTCTCTGTAATTCCAGGAACAAAAAGGTGCATCTTCTTTGCCCAATGATGTTCAGAACAGTTAGTCTGGTCTTTCTGGTCTCTCCCTCTGGTCTCTCCCTCTGGTCTCTTTAATCTATCTCTAGTTTCTATCTGGTCTACCTCTTGTCTCTCCCTGGTGTCTCTCTTTAGTCCATCTCTGGTCTCCCTCCCTCTGATCTCTCTCTCTCTGGTACCTCTCTCTCTGGTCTCTCTCTCTGATCTCTCTTTCTGGCCTCTCTCTGATCTCTCTCTCTGGTCTCTCTCTCTGATCTCTCTCTCTCTGATCTCTCTCTCTCTGGTCTCTCTCTCTCTGGTCTCTCTCTCTGGTCTCTCTCTCTGATCTCTCTCTCTCTGGTCTCTCTGGTCTCTCTCTCTGATCTCTCTCTCTCTGGTCTCTCTGGTCTCTCTCTCTCTGATCTCTCTCTCTGATCTCTCTCTCTGGTCTCTCTCTCTCTGGTCTCTCTGGTCTCTCTCTCTGGTCCCTCTCTGGTCCCTCTCTCTCTGGTCTCTCTCTCTGGTCTCCCTCTCTGATCTCTCTCTCTCTGGTCTCTCTCTGGTCCCTCTCTCTGATCTCTCTCTCTCTGGTCTCTCTCTCTGGTCTCTCTCTCTCTGGTTTCTCTCTCTGATCTCTCTCTCTCTGGTCTCTCTCTCTGGTCTCTCTGATCTCTCTCTCTCTGGTCTCTCTCTCTGGTCTTTCTCTCTCTGGTCTCTCTCTCTCTGGTCTCTCTCTCTGGTCTTTCTCTCTCTGGTCTCTCTCTTTATGGTCCTGGCTGTTGCACTTCTGTTCCCAACACTTCTGCTCACATCAACAGGGTCCAGTCAGGATTCTGCAGAACCACTTCTCCACATGAGTTCATCAGTGTCCACAGTCTGAGGGACAGACACCAGTGAGGACAGACACCAGCTGTGGTGAGGACTCAGGCCTGGGACAGACACCAGCTGCTGTGAGGCGTTGATGAAGGAGCGAAGGTGAAGTCCTCAAACTTAATGTCCACATGAGAAGAAGAACCGTCCAACTGTGAGGAAGACTGTGGAGAAGAGCAGAGGTTAGCACTAGTCAGAGAGAGACCAGAGAGAGAGACCAGAGAGAGAAACCAGAGAGAGACCAGAGAGAGACCAGAGAGAGACCAGAGAGAGACCAGAGAGACCAGAGAGACCAGAGAGAAACCAGAGAGAGACCAGAGACCAGAGAGAGACCAGAGAGAGACCAGAGAGAGAGAGACCAGAGAGAGAGACCAGAGAGAGACCAGAGAGATAGACCAGAGAGAGACCAGAGAGAGACCAGAGAGAGAGACCAGAGAGAGACCAGAGAGAGAGACCAGAGAGAGACCAGAGAGAGAGACCAGAGAGAGAGACCAGAGAGAGAGACCAGAGAGAGACCAGAGAGAGAGACCAGAGAGAGAGACCAGAGAGAGACCAGAGAGAGAGACCAGAGAGAGAGACCAGAGAGAGACCAAAGCACTCCCAAAGTCAGTGTCAGTGTGTTAGAGGAGAACAGTACCGTGTGGGAGAGGGAGGGCCCCGGCAGGTAGGCTGGTGTACCCAGGCCACGCTCACTCTTCTGGGGGGAGGAGGTCTCAGAGCTGGGGCTGGTGTCTGGCCCTCCTGTGGGACAGAGGAATGGAACCATCAACCTCCTCACAAACTCACACTGGACCATAGTAATACAGGGGAGACACCAGAGAGAAAGACCAGAGAGGGACCAGAGAGAAAGACCAGAGAGACACCATAGAGAGATTATAGAGGCACCAGAGAGAGAGCAGAGAGAGACTAGACAGAGACCAGAGATAGACCAGAGAGAGACCAGAGAGAGACCAGAGAGAGAGACCAGAGAGAGAGACCAGAGAGAGACCAGAGAGAGAGACCAGAGAGAGAGATGGAGGGAATCACATTACATAGAACTAAGATTGTTGAAGTTGTAGGTCTGGGTCTGTGTTTAGGCTCCAGTCATGTCTTGGTAGATGGCAGTGAGTTGGTAAATTTGCAGTGGTTTGCTTTTTTCAATTTCTGAAGACGTTTTGAGAAATGTTTGTGTCGGAGAGCACATACCGGACCTGCTCCTGGAGCTCTTGGGTTTGCGTTTGCGAGTTTGGATGCTCTCCTTCTTCATGGCCAGAGGACGAGGAACCTGAGTCACAACACACTTCATTTGCATGTTCTTTGAGACCAGAGAGAGACCAGAGAGTGACCAGAGAGAGACCAGAGAGAGAGACCAGAGAGAGACCAGAGAGAGACCAGAGAAAGACCAGAGAGAGACCAGAGAAAGACCAGAGAGAGACCAGAGAGAGGCCAGAGAGAGAGACCAGAGAGAGACCAGAGAGAGACCAGAGAGAGACCAGAGAGAGAGCAGAGAGAGACTAGAGAGACCAGAGAGAGACCAGAAAGACATTGACCTGAACTACAGCCAGAGACCAGAGAGAGACCAGAGAGAGACCAGAGAGAGAGACCAGAGCGAGACCAGAGAGAGACCAGAGAGAGAGACCAGAGAGAGACCAGAGAGAGACCAGAGAAAGACCAGAGAGAGACCAGAGAGAGACCAGAGAGAGACCAGAGAAAGACCAGAGAGAGACCAGAGAGAGACCAGAGAAAGACCAGAGAGAGAGACAGAGACCAGAGAGAGACTAGAGAGACCAGAGAGAGACCAGAGAGAGACCAGAAAGACATTGACCTGAACTACAGCCAGAGACCAGAGAGAGACCAGAGAGAGAAAGACCGGAGAGAGACCAGAGAGAGACCTGTATTGCTCCTGTAATACACCTTTATGACGTCTGTATCACACCTGTATTACGCCTGTATTACTTCTGTATTACACCTGTATTACGCCTGTATGATGCCTGTATTGCACCTGTATAACGCCTGTACTCACCCCATGCAGCTTGGTGTAGAGGCCACAGGCGTTGCAGACTGGTTCTCCCTCTGTGCTCCTCCTCCACAGGGTCGTGGTGCTGGTCCCACAGTTAGTGCAGAGGAGACCAGAGCGCCGGGAACCCACCTGCTGTGAGGAGAGAGACGGGATCAGAGCGAGACCAGAGAGAGAGACCCACCTGCTGTGAGGAGAGAGGGGATCAGAGCGAGACCAGAAAGAGAGACCCGCCTGCTGTGAGGAGAGAGGGGATCAGAGCGAGACCAGAGAGAGAGACCCACCTGCTGTGAGGAGAGAGGGGTTAAGAGCGAGACCAGAGAGAGAGACCCACCTGCTGTGAGGAGAGAGGAGATCAGAGCGAGACCAGAGAGAGAGACCCGCCTGCTGTGAGGAGAGAGGGGATCAGAGCGAGACCAGAGAGAGAGACCCACCTGCTGTGAGGAGAGAGGGGATCAGAGCGAGACCAGAGAGAGAGAGACCCACCTGCTGTGAGGAGAGAGGGGGATCAGAGCGAGACCAGAGAGAGAGACCCACCTGCTGTGAGGAGAGAGGGGATCAGAGCGAGACCAGAGAGAGAGACCCACCTGCTGTGAGGAGAGAGGGGATCAGAGCGAGACCAGACAGAGAGACCCGCCTGCTGTGAGGAGAGAGGGGATCAGAGCGAGACCAGAGAACGAGACCACAGAGAGAGAGAGAGACCCACCTGCTGTGAGGAGAGAGGGGATCAGAGCGAGACCAGAGAACGAGACCACAGAGAGAGAGAGAGACCCACCTGCTGTGAGGAGAGAGGGGATCAGAGCGAGACCAGAGAGAGAGACCCACCTGCTGTGAGGAGAGAGGGGTTAAGAGCGAGACCAGAGAGAGAGACCCACCTGCTGTGAGGAGAGAGGGGATCAGAGCGAGACCAGAGAAAGAGACCACAGAGAGAGAGAGACCCACCTGCTGTGAGGGAGAGAGAGGATCAGAGAGAGACCGGGGAGCGAAACCACAGAGAGAGACCAGAGAGATACCCACCTGCTCTGATGGAGAGAGGGGATCAGAGCGAGACCGGGGAGAGAGACCCACCTGCTGTGAGGGAGAGAGGGGATCAGAGCGAGACCAGAGAGAGAGACCCACTTGCTGTGAGGAGAGAGGGGATCAGAGCGAGACCGGGGAGAGAGACCCACCTGCTGTGAGGAGAGAGGGGATCAGAGCGAGTCTCTCTCTGGTCTATCTCTCTGGTCTCTCTCTGGTCCCTCTCTGGTCTCTCTCTCTGGTCTCTCTCTGGTCCCTCTCTGGTCCCTCTCTGGTCCCTCTCTGGTCTCTCTCTGGTCTCTCTCTCTGGTCTCTTTCTGGTCTCTCTCTGGTCTCTCTCTGGTTTCTCTCTCTGGTCTCTCTCTGGTCCCTCTCTGGTCTCTCTCTGGTCTCTTGCTGTGTTTACCTCATGACCCTGTTATCTCTGTTTAGTTGAAATAGCTTCTTATCGCTGGAGTTTGGAAAGAGTGACACATACTTCTGTTATCAGCTGTTAGAGCGAGAACGAGTCCAGAGAGAGACCAGAGAGAGACCAGAGAGACCAGAGAGACCAGAGAGAGACCAGAGAGACCAGAGAGAGACCAGAGCCTGACTGCAAGAAGTACTAAAGAAGGACCTGGTACTGGTTAAACAGGGCCAGTGGAAACAGGGGAGAGTAGAAGAAGAAAATTGCTCTTGTCATTTCATATTGGTCTCTTTCTGGTCTCTCTTTCTCTCTGGTGTCTTTTCTTTGGTCTCTCTCGTTCTGGTCTCTACTCTCTGGGGTCTTCTCACTGGTCTCTCTCTCTCTCTGGTCTCTAAGACCAATGCATTATGATTAATGATGATCATTATTATTACCATTATTAATCATTCATAAATGTCCAACAGAAAGAAGCAATAACAATAATTCTTATAATAATAATTATTACATTTATTGTTTCTTTCTGTTGGACATTTATCAAGCTTAAGTTACCAGCTCCACTTAAACACAGATGTAGCCACAGCTGCCCTGGGTCAGACTGACTGTGTGGCTCTCACCAGTCTCTTGTGTGGTTTGATGAGCGGTCGGTTGATGCCGTTCATCCTGTGGTAGAGGCCACAGGCGTTACACAGGTAGTGTCCGGTCCCATCTCTGCGCCACAGCGGAGTGGAGACCGAGCCACAGTTCACACACTCCCGGCCCTCCACACAGTCCTCCAGAGCACCTGTGTAAGGACCTCACATTACACCTGTGTAAGGACCTCATATTACACCTGTGTAAGGACCTCATATTACACCTGTGTAAGGACCTCACATTACACCTGTGTAAGGACTGTAAGGACCTCAAATTACACCTGTGTAAGAACCTCACATTACACCTGTGTAAGGACCGTAAGTACCTTAAATTACACCTGTGTAAGGACCTCACATTACACCTGTGTAAGGACCTCACATTACACCTGTGTTACAGACCTCACATTACACCTGTGTACAGACCTCACATTACACCTGTGTTACAGACCTCACATTACACCTGTGTACAGACCTCACATTACACCTGTGCAAGGACCTCACATTGCACCTGTGTAAGGACCTCACCTTTCACCTGTGTAAGGACCTCACATTACACCTGTGTAAGCACCTCACATTACACCTGTGTACGGACCTCACATTACACCTGTGTAAGAACCTCACATTACACCTGTGTAAGCACCTCACATTACACCTGTGTAAGGACCTCACATTACACCTGTGTAAAGACCTCACATTACACCTGTGTAACGACCAGTGTTAATTTCGTTGACGATATATTATCGTCATATTTTTCTTCACAAATATATTTTTGGGGACAAAAACTAAAGGAAAACAAAAATAGAAGTCACTCATTAAGACGTAGACGAGGACTAAATTGATTGACATTTTTGTCCACGAATAAAAGACGAAACAAAAATGGACCATGACAAAATCAAACCAGATGAAAGGAAAGATGAGGTAAATGAGAAAACAACCAATCGACTGCCAGAGCCTGTGCGAGGAGGACCAATGAGGGCTTTTCTTAGTGAGCACCGGTGGCGCGAGCAGTGAACAAAAGCTATTGCTAACGCTAACCACAACATCACTCAGTACCATTTACTCACGTAAGCCATGTGTCCATCAGTGATGAAAAGAACTAGAACATGTCCACGGCTGGGAGAAAAGAAAGGATATCTGTGCGCCCTTTTACGTTTGACAAAGTAGAAAAAAAGAGATGGAATTGAAGCCCCGTGAAGAGGCATCGCAACATTAATATGGTTGAAAACAAGGAGATTAATTTGCTCTACCGCCATCATGTGGACAAAACATATACAACACTCTTAAGTGCCTACAATAAATGGTGACATCGACAGTTGATCTACAATGATATTATATAAAAACAAGATTGCTCCAAATTTAAGTAAAGTAATAGCTACGTTTGTGATCGTACGCTACAAGCGATAACACATGTTTAGAAAATAAATCTTTTTTAGTCAACAAAAATTGCGTCATATTTTCATTGACTAAAATTGTGACTAAAACTAAAATCAATTTTAATCAAAAGACTAAGACTAAAACGAAATTAGAATTGTCAAAATTAACATTGGTAAGGACCTCATATTACACCTGTGTTATAGACCTCACATTTCACCTGTGTTGCAGACCTCACATTACACCTGTGTATAGACCTCACATTACACCTGTGTTACAGACCTCACATTACACCTGTGTTATAGACCTCACATTACACCTGTGTTAAAGACCCCACATTACACCTGTGTTACAGACCTCACATTACACCTGTGTTACAGACCCCACATTACACCTGTGTTACAGACCTCACATTACACCTGTGTTACAGACCTCACATTACACCTGTGTTACAGACCTCACATTACACCTGTTTTACAGACCTCACATTACACCTGTGTTACAGACCTCACATTACACTTGTGTTACAGACCACACATTACACCTGTGTTACAGACCTCACATTACACCTGTGTTACAGACCTCACATTACACCTGTGTTACAGACCTCACATTACACCTGTGTTACAGACCCCACATTACACTTGTGTTATAGACCTCACATTACACCTGTGTTACAGACCCCACATTACACCTGTGTTACAGACCTCACATCACACCTGTGTTACAGACCTCACATTACACCTGTGTTACAGACCTCACATTACACCTGTGTTACGGACCTCACATTACACCTGTGTTACAGACCTCACATTACACCTGTGTTACAGACCTCACATTACACCTGTGTTATAGACCTCACATTACACCTGTGTTACAGACCTCACATTACACCTGTGTTACGGACCTCACATTACACCTGTATTACGCCTCTGTAAGGACAACTGTGGGGGACCTCTTCTTTTCTTTTTGCGGCTGCTTTAAAATCAAAAACTTCCCAAAACTCACGGTGTGAGATATTTATAATTACGCCGTATTGTGATGACGTCATGCCTCACCTCTCCGTGCGCACACCTGTCGCAGGCTGCTGTCGTAGGGCCCCGGGGCCCAGGTGGAGGGGCCCATGTCTGTGCTGCTGTAAGCGCTGTACGGCCTGAGCGTGCTCCCGTACTGCGCGCTGCCGTACGGCTCCAGCTGCAGCGCGCTCCCGTGGCTGTGGTCGCGCACGCCGCAGTAGCTGCTGTCCCAGTGAGCATGTGCAGACTCCTGTGTGTACGGCAGCGCGGGCAGCACCGCGGGCACGCGCGCAGGTGGCACATACACCGGGGAGCTGGCAGGCGCGTGCACGTACACCGGGGAGTTTGTGGGCGCGTGCACGTACACCGGGGAGCTGGTGGGCCCATGCAAAAAGCTGGTGTCATGCGCGTACGCTGCCTGGTACATGGTGCAGGTCACCTGGTCACAGCCTGAAACAAGAGATAGAAGTTAGAACAGAGGCCTGGTCTCTCTCTGGTCTCACTCTGTACTCTCTCTGGTCTCTCTCTGGTCTCCCTCTAGTCTCTCTCTGGTCTCTCTCGTCTCCCTCGAGTCTCTCTCTGGTCTCTCTCTTATCTGTATAACTAGTTATTTACTGGGAGGATTATCACCTTTAAATGAAGCATATTGTTGGGTTTTCAAAATCGCACCAAATGAAAAGAGACATGATGTAGCAGACATTCAATAATAACACAACTCAAAACTAAAAACAATACTCACACACGCACGCACACGCACGAACACACACACACACACACACACACACACACACACACACACAGAGTTTTAGAACCACAAAAACCTGCTTTCGGTCGAAATAACATTTACATTATTTTATTATTTTGTTTGTTTTCTGCAGAATTGTTGTAATAAAAAGTTACTATTTTACTTGGAACACCTTTAATCTAATGGTTTAATCTGTACTTCTGCCTCTTGATGGTGTGTGTGTAGAGTGCTTTATGGTGTGTAGTGTGCTTGATGGTGTGTGTAGTGTGCTTGATGGTGTGTGTAGTGTGCGTGATGGTGTGTGTAGTGTGTTTGATGGTGTGTGTAGTGTGCTTGATGGTGTGTGTAGTGTGCTTGAAGGTTTGTGCAGTGCGCTTGATGGTGTGTAGTGTGCTTGATGGTGTGTGTAGTGTGCTTGAAGGTTTGTGCAGTGCGCTTGATGGTGTGTAGTGTGCTTGATGGTGTGTGTAGTGTGCTTGATGGTGCTTGTGTAGTGTGCTTGATGGTGTGTGTGTAGTGTGTTTGATGGTGTGTGTAGTGTTCTTGATGGTGTGTGTAGTGTGTTTGATGGTGTGTGTAGTGTGCTTGATGGTGTGTGTAGTGTGCTTGATGGTGTGTGTAGTGTGGTTTATGGAGTGTGTTTAGTGTGCTTGATGGCGGCTGTAGTGTGCTTGATGGTGCGTGTGTAGTATGCTTGATGGTGAGTGTAGTGTTCTTGATGGTGTGTGTGTAGTGTGCTTGATGGTGTGTGTGTGTGTGTGTAGTGTGCTTTATGGTGTGTGTAGTGGGGTTGATGGTGTGTGTGTAGTGTGCTTGATGGTGTGTGTGTTGTGTGTTTGATGGTGTGTGTAGTGTGCTTGATGGTGAGTGTAGTGTGCTTGATGGTGAGTGTAGTGTTCTTGATGGTGAGTGTAGTGTTCTTGATGGTGTGTGTGTAGTGTGCTTGATGGTGTGTGTGTGTGTAGTGTGCTTGATGGTGTGTGTAGTGTGCTTGATGTTGTGTGTGTTGTGTGCTTGATGGTGTGTGTAGTGTGCTCGATGGTGTGTGTAGTGTGCTTGATGGTGTGTGTGTGTAGTGTGCTTGATGGTGTGTGTAGTGTGCTTTATGGTGTGTGTAGTGTGCTTGATGGTGTGTGTAGTGTGCTTGATGGTGTGTGTAGTGTGCTTGATGGTGTGCTTGATGGTGTGTGTAGTGTGCTTTATGGTGTGTGTAGTGTGCTTTATGGTATGTGTACATTGTATTATTGCCATTTCTCGCTGTTAAATAAAACCTAAAAACTTTTTCAACATTGACTCAGACTCTGGTCTCTACCATGTGTGCCTTTGGTTGATGGTATTGTCCCAGGAGCAGCCCTGGTGTCAGTTACTCTGGTCGAAACCCGTTCGCCCACACCATCAACTGTTGTTTATGGTCATTTACTCACAGCAAACAACATCAAAGGGTTTTTACATTTTTATGTGAGTTTCAGACAAAGTTTTAGTTTAAACAAATGTTTCCTGGTGCTTCCTGGTGCTTCCTGGTGCTTCCTGTCCTGTGACATCATCTCCCTGTCCCTTCAGAATGAAAACATGGCCGACACAAACCATCAATAGATTTTCCCCAAACACATGGTAATGATTGGATGTTTGGTCTCTGCAGAAACAGAGTCTGACGTTGGTGATGTCACCGCCTTCAGGACGGATCATGATTTACTCTTTTTAATTTGTAGAATGTTGTACAATCATTTCATCCTCTTCTTCTTCACATGTAAATAAGGCAGGGGTGTCCAAACCTTTTAGTAGAAGGGTCACTTCAGGTCATCAGACTTGACCTGGGGCCGACCACCTGGACTTAAGAAACTGCATCGACTGGATTCTGGAATATGACATTTGGACTTTGGGTTTTGATCCGTCATTATTGATTCAGAACTGCATCTTATTTTATTGTTGTGACAACCTCACCCTCATCCTCACCCTCATCCTCACCCTCATCCTCACCCTCATCCTCACCCTCACCCTCATCCTCATCCTCAACCTCACCCTCATCCTCACCCTCATCCTCACCCTCACCCTCATCCTCATCCTCAACCTCACCCTCATCCTCACCCTCATCCTCACCCTCATCCTCACCCTCAACCTCACCCTCACCCTCATCCTCACCCTCATCCTCACCCTCATCCTCACCCTCAACCTCATCCTCACCCTCATCCTCATCCTCACCCTCATCCTCACCCTCACCCTCACCCTCATCCTCACCCTCACCCTCACCCTCATCCTCACCCTAATCCTCATCCTCACCCTCATCCTCACCCTCACCCTCACCCTCATCCTCACCCTCATCCTCACCCTCATCCTCACCCTCACCCTCACCCTCATCCTCACCCTCAATCCTCACCCTCATCCTCACCCTCACCCTCATCCTCACCCTCATCCTCACCCTCATCCTCACCCTCACCCTCATCCTCACCCTCACCCTCATCCTCACCCTCATCCTCACCCTCACCCTCATCCTCACCCTCATCCTCACCCTCACCCTCATCCTCCCCCTCATCCTCACCCTTCCCCTCACCCTCCCCTCCCCCCTCCCCCTCTTCCTCATCCTCCCCCTCCCCCTCACCCTTTCCCTCATCCTCCCCCTCACCCTCCCCCTCCCCCACTGCAGCAGCGGTGGAAAGTACCAGTGATGTGAGTTCAGTGATGGACACTGGGCTTTGGCTGAAAATGTGCCATAGACTGTAAATATATAATAATAATATTCTACATAAATAATGATAATAATAATAATAATAATAATAATAATATTGTAAATATAATAATAATAATAATATTGTAAATACATAATAATAATAATAATAATATTAATAATATTGTAAATACATAATAATAATAATAATAATGTAAATATAATAATAATAATAATAATAATAATAATAATAATATTGTAAATATAATAATAATAATAATAATGTAAATAAATAATGATAATGATAATAATAATAATATTGTGCCGCTCCGTGTGTTGTGCTGTAAGAGTCTCCTGCTGTCTGAGCTTGTGGGAGACACTGTTGGGAAGAAGAAAAGACAATAGAAAGTATAATTAAAAGCTACTGTCATTTTTTTGCCGTTTTTTTTTTTGGGATTTCCAAAATGAAATGTTTTGAAAACATTTGTTCTGTATTTTAGAATAAAGAAACCGTTCAACTTGTTTGTTTTTTGGATTCTATAAAGTCAGTTTGTCCGATCACAACCTTGGGTTGATTGTATCCAGTGATTTGATCCGTTATGACCTAGTTATGTGCCCCAAACATGCGATTTTCTTCTAGCAAAGTATAATATTGAAAACAAAAAATCTTGATTCTAGGAACACAACTGACGACATTACATACATAAACTCTGAGAAAAGTGTGGCACAAATGGGTTCAAAGAACAATCTGAGAAATGATCCAAAGACGCGAAAAACGTTAAAGTTTGTGAGACTTCTGCCACAGGCCCCGAGTCCGGGGCAAGAGGGGCCCGGACCCGTGCGTAAAAGCGTCCAAATGTGAGCCAGTGCTGTGCTTTGAACTGGACCATAGCCGTGCGTGACAGCGGACTATAGCCGTGCGTGACAGCGGACCAAACTGTCCTCTTAATTATGCTAAAGCTAGATATTTTAAACTAGCTTCTTTATTATGCTAAAGAGTATAAAGAGATATATATAGAGATTTTAAATTATTTTAGTATTTCTTCACCCCGGGACGAATAAAGGATCTCTTAATTATCTGTTTACCTTTGGATCTAAATTCTCTAAATTCCGTAAATACAGAATGTGGGGAATTTTGATTTAGATTCTAAAAGCACTGGGAATGTAAGAATAAATAAGTAACTCACCTCAGATCATGAAGCTGGTGATGCCACAAACAGAGCCGCGGGGACGATACTGCGGGAGGCCCCAAGCCTGGTGCGTGAAGCCGGGCGTGAAGATGTCCAGGGGGAGCCGAGACCGTGCGCAAAGTGGACCAAAGCCGTGCGTTAAATGGCCCAAAGTTGTGCGTAAAGAGGGGCCAAAGCCGTGCGTAAAGTGGCACGAAATTGTGCGTAAAAGTGTGGGAGGACAGGTCGGTGTCTGTGCGTAAAAGTGTCCAAACCCGAGCCTGGGTCTTTATGGGACGTTTTGGGATCCACTGAATCTACACTGAGTTAGAAATGACAGATTTGGTCCAAAACTCCTCAGATGTGGACCGTTTTCAGCCGCGCGCAGCAGAAGAATGAAGTTTGGATCTGGACTCAGGGCCACGTGACCAAGAGGGCGGGGTCAGGGGACAAGGACCAGGAGCAAGAGCAAGAGCAAGACCAGGACCAGACCCTGCAGGTCTAAAGTTACAGACCTCCGCTTTACGCTCGTAAAATCTTGTCTCTGTGTAATTTTTATGATGTTTTTGCTGATAATGTGTTTCTTGTGTTTATGACACACGCACACAAGCACGTGCGCACGCACGCACGAATACACAAGGTATCGCTCTTTGGTTCCTCTCTCTGGTCTCTCTCTGGTCTCTCTGGTCTCTCTCTGGTCTCTCTCTGGTCTCCCTCTGGTCTCTCTCTGATCTCTGTCTGGTCTCTGTCTGGTCTCTCTCTGGTCTCTCTCTGTATCTTGTATCGTCCCTGATGTGGAGGAGCAGCGCCCTCTCCTGGTCAGAGGCCTGTATCACAGCCGTCTCTCCTGAATCTAAAAAGTGTATTTGAAGTTTTCACACAGTTTATTGGTATAGAACAGTTCAGACACAACGCTCTGAACAAAACAAGAAACACACATAAACATCAGAAATAATCAGAAAAGATAAAATCATAGAAACTGTTTTTAACCTGAATTTGAACATTCCCTGTGCTCCTCAGAGTCCCAGCAGGAGTCCAGTCCCTGTGCTCCTCAGAGTCCCAGCAGGAGGCCAGTCCCTGTGCTCCTCAGAGTCCCAGCAGGAGGCCAGTCCCTGTGCTCCTCAGAGTTCCAGCAGGAGTCTGTTAGTATTAGATAGCAATATGGCCTACGTGCAGGACTGTACAAGGACTCTACAAGGACTCCATGTTATGACTATGATGTGACTGTCTCTTTGTGACACGTATGTCTTTCGATGTGTGACGTGACAATGACTATATAAACTGTGTACTGCCTTTATTCTGTCTGAGAGAAAGAAACAGAGTAAACCAGTGGAACTTGAGAGAAACTTAAATAAACTTCCAGAGTTTGGCACACCACGATCCGTCTCTGTCTGCTAAATCCTAACAGATTTGGTGGAGAATGCGCGGCTCAGTGTGTGCCATTCTCTGGATTGTTTTGAGGGAGTTTTGCTCTGTTTCTTTTCCTCTGCGTGAGAGATCGGCATGCTGTGTCTGGGAGCGGGGATTCCAGCAGGCTGGAAGAGCTGTTCCTGGATGCTTCTTGTCGCTTCTGTCACTTTTGTTTTTTAAATTGAAGATTCCGACGCGGAAAAGAGTTGGCAGACCTCTCGGACAGTCCTTGGAACCGGTTTGACAAGAATAAGGTAAGCAGACACCTTTTTATATGTAAAGTCTGCATAATTGGATATTAGCTAAATTTTGGTCTGTTTTTTGGGGTCTGTCAAACTCTCTAAATTGTATTTTGAAGAAGTCTCGGGGTTAAAGTCCCTTTGAGCCTCGGGGTTAAAGTCCCTTTGAGAAAGTCTCGGGGTTAAAGTCCCTTTGAGCCTCGGGGTTAAAGTCCCTTTGAGAAAGTCTCGGGGTTAAAGTCCCTTTGAGAAAAGCCTCGGGGTTAAAGTCCCTTTGAGAAGAAGCTTCAGGGTTAAAGTCCCTTTGAGAGAAACCATGGTGTAGAATTAAAAGTAATTATAAAAAGGGAAACGTTAAACACTAAAGAGTGCCTTTTGTTACTAGTGTGGAAAGTGATCACTTCTAGATTTGGATGACAAAAGTATAAAGAACAACATCAGTTATATTCGCTTAACAAAGTAATCTTGAAAGTTATTCTTCTGTATCTTTTTGCCTGTGTGTGCGCGTCGCTCTATCTGCTGCCGTTGTCAGGGAAACGGCCCCCTCCTTCGCTGCTCTGGCTCTGAATCTGAAGCAAAGCTACTGCTTTAGGAATTTGGCTTTTCATAGTAGTTATTCCGTTAAATTTGCTAAATTTGCCATTTGAACATTGTGTTAGACACAGTTAAACGTTTTTAAACACCATTAGTGAGTAAGTTTTGAATATTATATGTTTTTTGAAACCCAAATATTAGTGCTAAAAGCTGTGCAATTCTTTTTAGACCTAACATATTTCTAGATTCCATTCTTTTAAATCTGCTGCTTATTTTGTGAGTCCATTATTGTATCTGATATTTCATAGCTGTTAGTGAGAATTTTTTTATGTTTTTATTTTAGTTACAAAAGCCGTTTTTCAAACATTTAAATTAGAATCTGTTCTAAGTGATTAATGATTGTAGACTTCGTCTAAAAAAGAAAGAGGGAATTAGGCTGTAAAAGTATTATATTATTAAGTTAAACTACCCAATTCACATGCAAGTGGTGACTTTTGTTTTTGTTTTGACTACACGCCTGACCTTGTTGCTCCTGCTGATGCACACAGCAGAGGAGACTGGTCTAAAATGTGCTCCAATTCATACTGACTTCATTTGAAAAATGCTGCAATTATTTTAAATTAGTAAAATATATGCTGAGATAAATGCACAGATAATTAAACACACAGTACAAAAGTACATAATACATATTTTAAAGTTTAAGAAGGTTTAAGAGATTTGAGTCTTGTTTTTTATATTGAGAGTTTCTGGTTTTAAATGTCATCATTAGTAAGATAATAAGTAATCTTTTATTTACATAGCGCTTGGGAAAACCCAGAGCGCTTCAAAATTGTTTTGACTTTAGGGAGAAAAACAATCTCATTCACAATCTCTGTTGTTTTTAATTTGACTATAAGGTTGTTTTCCAGAACCAAGAGCACACACTGTACAGGGTCACTGGACTGCTGGACACTGGACAGCGCAAAGCCCACCCAGCCACAGGTCACAGATCAAAGAGCAAAGGGAAATGCCACCTCCTTGCCCCTCCCCACGCCACTGCAGAACTGAGTGGGAGTGAGACCGGGGCCATGAAAGAGAGGTGTCTGGAGACGTGATGGGTGGAGCATCAGGGAGAGACCTGAATGAGAGTTGAGAGTGTGTCCAGTTGGTTTACATCACCACAGTGTGACCTTTGACACCTACAGGTGGTTCGAGGAGTCTGGAGAGACAACCCCAAAATTCACATACACACATACACACACACACACACACACATACATTCATACACACTCACACATTCACATTTACATATAGATACATGAAAAAGCAGAACATGAGAAAAAAGCATTTTAAAAGTTTACTCCAATGTAAACACATTTTTAATTGTCTATCACTTGAATCTTTATTTGAATCAGTATTTTTTGAGACCAGAAATGTTCATTTGAATTCTATATTGTCATGGACTTAATTGACGTCTGTCCTGACACTTTTGATTTGTTGATTTTGTACTGTGTGAAGTAATTACATTGATTAGAATTAGATCTGATAAAAACACAAATTAGAGAAGTAAACTGCGCTTGCTTTTTGTCTGAGGGACATTAGCAACAGCATGAATAGAAATTGTGTTAAAGTAGAATCAAAGTGATTTAACCATAGAGAGTAACTATTGCATAACAAGCTGTGTACAGGAACTGTGACACTGCACCATTGACCAGAAGTGCATCGCAAATGACCTGATGTGCTTCAACTGAAAAGACTGTATCTGGAGATCCGATGTCCAACTGGAGAGACCAGAACCATGGCTTGGACCCTACTGATGTCCAAGATGACATCTCTATATGACCTGACCTGATGACGACTGAGACTCACCCTCAGGGGACCCTGAGGACCTGAGGATCTGAGGACCTGAGGATCTGAGGACCCTGGAGAGAAAAAACTGGGGAGTGATGTTTATATTTTTGAAATCATACATTGATGAGTGCTAAATGAGAGTGATACTCATGATTCTTTCTTTTGTTTTTGTTTGTCCCTAGCTTCTGGACATCTGATGATCTATTGGACACAGCCATTTGCAGAACAAGAACCAGCCAATGAAACGTCTATTGCCGATGCTATTGCTACAACCAGAACCTGTGACAAATGCAATATACATGTTAAGCATTCAGACATCTGACAGACAAAAACTTTGAAAATGATAAAGTATGAGTATTGTAGCGTTTTAGTAGATGTTAAATAGTAGTAAAAAAGTAGAATTTGACTTCCTTTGTTGTTCATAAACATATTTCCACGTAAGAGTTAAAATAGTACCCTACAATGTTATCCTTTTGATAGATCAGCTAGAATATTAGAATCAGAGTTATGTTACAGCCATTAAAAGTGACAGAAGTCACAAATTAGAAATATGCCTTGACTTAAGCTGCAGCCGAGCTTTTGAGTTAAAAAATAGAGTAAAAATAGGAATAGATAAATGCATCAACCATAGATGCTTTCAAAAATAGAGAATATTCTTAGCCAGTGCTAATATCAAATGGTAAAGGGACCATTTCACAAGCATTTACTTCAAAAGTAGATAAAGTTACTTACAGTTTTATTAGATACTTGCCAAATTCACTTGTGTTCAAACATGAGTGAATGTTGACTATGCAAAAAGTTTATATGAGTGTAGCCTAGATCAATGAGATAGATTAGAACCAAGAGAGATTCAAAAGCATTTAAAAGCATTTTGATGCATTTGGGTGTAGCCCAAAAACACAATAGTAGATATTTAGATATTGAGAAGTTTCCAGCACAAATACCATTGTAGAATAACTGACCCCAACCCCAAACCTAATTAGCTACTATTAGGATAATGCTAATTTGATTAATGATGTACATTCATCCCAAATGCCTGACAATAATATCTTTAGATAATAAATAGTAATAAATCACTGACCACTATAGAAGTGTAAATGTTGACCATTTGCCTTACTGTGTTCACAGTTTTATTCCTGAGAATGAGAATAGACATGGAGCAAAATCCCACTAACAATATGCCACTGATAATTAGAGTATAATACCACAGAGAGATTTATTAGATTAAAATGTATGTTTAAGAATATGGCTCAATAGATGCAAATATGCAAACATATTTGTGAATAGATTAGAATAGTTTTAAACTATAGTGAATAGTGAAAGTAAAGTACACAGTCTAAGATTGAAAAGTGAAAATAATACAGTGAAATAAGTGAAGTGTAGTGTAAACAATTGTCATTAGAATAAAAGTATAGAGTAATAAAAGTGAAATTAGCTTCAAATTTGAGACTCAGCTCGTTTTTGTCTGTGTTTTGACTGAATCTGCTGAGTTCTTGTGTGTCCAATAGTTTTTGTTTGTTTTTATTTTTGTTTGTTTTTACTTTTTATTTGATTTGTTGTTTGTTTGTTTATTTACTTTATTTTTGTTTGTTTATTTTTTCCCAGGATAGAGGATAAAATCCACTGATATTGATTTGATGATTATGAGTTTAATGCATACATTTTCTTTGTTTTTAATAATTTTTAAAAGTTTTTTTTAGAATTTTTTCTTTTTTCTTTTTCCACTTTATTGATTGATCGATTTGAGTGATCACATGTGATTATGTGATCAAAGGGGAGGGTGTTAGTATTAGATAGCAATATGGCCTACGTGCAGGACTGTACAAGGACTCTACAAGGACTCCATGTTATGACTATGATGTGACTGTCTCTTTGTGACACGTATGTCTTTCGATGTGTGACGTGACAATGACTATATAAACTGTGTACTGCCTTTATTCTGTCTGAGAGAAAGAAACAGAGTAAACCAGTGGAACTTGAGAGAAACTTAAATAAACTTCCAGAGTTTGGCACACCACGATCCGTCTCTGTCTGCTAAATCCTGACAAGTCCAGTCCCTGTGCTCCTCAGAGTCCCAGCAGGAGGCCAGTCCCTGTGCTCCTCAGAGTCCCAGCAGGAGGCCAGTCCCTGTGCTCCTCAGAGTCCCAGCAGGAGGCCAGTCCCTGTGCTCCTCAGAGTCCCAGCAGGAGGAGGCCAGTCCCTGTGCTCCTCAGAGTTGGTTCATAAGGCACTAACATGACCCACAGATGTATTTTGGTGCAAGACCGAGAAGAGACTTGTAAAAAGCAGAGACCTGGGACCAGGACTAATGTGATGGTACTTCCTGGTTCTAGTCCGGACTCGAGCTGCAGAATCTTTAAGTCTTTAAGTTAAGACATTATACTTTTCTATTATAGCCTGTCTCTCTGGTCTCTCTCTGGTCTCTCTTGGGTCTCTCTCGGGTCTCTCTCTCTGGTCACTCTCTCTGGTCACACTCTGGTCACTCTCTCTGGTCTCTCTCTCTGGTCTCTCTCTCTGGTCTCTCTCTCTGGTCTCTCTCTCTGGTCACTCTCTGGTCACTCTCTCTGGTCTCTCTCTCTGGTCTCTCTCTGGTCTCTCTCTCTGGTCACTCTCTGGTCACTCTCTCTGGTCTCTCTCTCTGGTCTCTCTCTGGTCACTCTCTCTGGTCACTCTCTGGTCACTCTCTCTGGTCTCTCTCCCTGGTCTCTCTCTGGTCACTCTCTCTGGTCTCTCTCTCTGGTCTCTCTCTTTGGTCTCTCTCTGGTCACTCTCTCTGGTCTATCTTTGGTCTCTCTGGTCACTCTCTCTGGTCTCTCTCTGGTCTCTCTCTCTGGTCTCTCTCTCTGGTCACTCTCTGGTCTCTCTCTCTGGTCTCTCTCTCTGGTCTCTCTGGTCTCTCTCTCTGGTCTCTCTGGTCTCTGGTCTCTGGTCTCTCTCTGGTCTCTCTGGTCCCTGGTCTCTGGTCACTCTCTGGTCTCTCTCTGTGGTCTCTCTCTGGTCTCTCTCTGGTCACTCTCTGGTCTCTCTCTCTGGTCTCTCTCTCTGGTCTCTCTCTCTGGTCTCTCTCTCTGGTCACTCTCTGGTCTCTCTCTCTGGTCTCTCTCTCTGGTCTCTCTCTGGTCTCTCTCTCTGGTCTCTCTCTCTGGTCACTCTCTGGTCTCTCTCTCTGGTCACTCTCTCTGGTCTCTCTCTGGTCTCTCTCTCTGGTCTCTCTCTCTGGTCACTCTCTGGTCTCTCTCTCTGGTCTCTCTCTCTGGTCTCTCTGGTCTCTCTCTCTGGTCTCTCTGGTCTCTGGTCTCTGGTCTCTCTCTGGTCTCTCTGGTCCCTGGTCTCTGGTCACTCTCTGGTCTCTCTCTGTGGTCTCTCTCTGGTCTCTCTGGTCCCTCTCTGGTCTCTCTGCTCCCTGGTCTCTGGTCTCTCTCTCTGGTCTCTCTCTCTGGTCTCTCTCTCTGGTCTCTCTGGTCTCTCTGGTCCCTGGTCTCTGGTCACTCTCTGGTCTCTCTCTCTGGTCTCTCTCTCTGGTCTCTCTGGTCCCTGGTCTCTGGTCTCTCTGCTCCCTGGTCTCTGGTCTCTCTCTCTGGTCTCTCTCTCTGGTCTCTCTGGTCCCTGGTCTCTGGTCTCTCTCTGGTCTCTCTGGTCCCTGGTCTCTGGTCTCTCTCTGGTCTCTCTGCTCCCTGGTCTCTCTCTCTCTGGTCTCTCTCTCTGGTCTCTCTGGTCCCTGGTCTCTGGTCTCTCTCTGGTCTCTCTGGTCCCTGGTCTCTGGTCTCTCTCTGGTCTCTCTGGTCCCTGGTCTCTGGTCTCTCTCTGGTCTCTCTGCTCCCTGGTCTCTCTCTCTGGTCTCTCTCTCTGGTCTCTCTCTCTGGTCTCTCTGGTCCCTGGTCTCTGGTCTCTCTCTGGTCTCTCTGGTCCCTGGTCTCTGGTCTCTCTCTGGTCTCTCTGGTCCCTGGTCTCTGGTCTCTCTCTGGTCTCTCTGCTCCCTGGTCTCTGGTCTCTCTCTCTGGTCTCTCTGGTCCCTGGTCTCTGGTCTCTCTCTGGTCTCTCTGGTCCCTGGTCTCTGGTCTCTCTCTGGTCTCTCTGCTCCCTGGTCTCTCTCTCTGGTCTCTCTCTCTGGTCTCTCTCTCTGGTCTCTCTGGTCCCTGGTCTCTGGTCTCTCTCTGGTCTCTCTGGTCCCTGGTCTCTGGTCTCTCTCTGGTCTCTCTGGTCCCTGGTCTCTGGTCTCTCTCTGGTCTCTCTGCTCCCTGGTCTCTGGTCTCTCTCTCTGGTCTCTCTGGTCCCTGGTCTCTGGTCTCTCTCTGGTCTCTCTGGTCCCTGGTCTCTGGTCTCTCTCTGGTCTCACATACAGCAGCACCAGGTGGACTTCTCTGGGTACTTGTCCACAAACAGGTCCTCTCCGCTGATGTGAAAGTGCCGCGTCCTTCCTCTCCACTGGTACGTCACTTTGGAGACACACACCAGCTCCACGCTCTGACGCTGCAACACACAACACACACACACATGGTTTACACACACACATTACACACACCAGCTCCACGCTCTGACGCTGCAACACACAACACACACACACATGGTTTACACACACACATTACAGACACACACACTTTACACACACCAGCTCCACGCTCTGACGCTGCAACACACAACACACACACACATGGTTTACACACACACATTACAGACACCAGCTCCACGCTCTGACGCTGCAACACACAATACACACACACACACGGTTTACACACACACATTACACACACCAGCTCCACGCTCTGACGCTGCAACACACAATACACACACACATGGTTTACACACACACACATGGTTTACACACACACATTACACACACCAGCTCCACGCTCTGACGCTGCAACACACAATACACACACACACACGGTTTACACACACACATTACACACACACACACACACACACACACACACACAATACAGTACAGAGAGACCACGGTTACACACACAGTTTACACACAGACATTACACACACAGAGCCCTGGGAGTCACTATCTGACTCTTTGGGCTGAGAGAGGGGGGTCCTCTCTCAGGGAGAGACCAGGGAGAGACCAGAGAGAGACCAGAGAGAGAGACCAGAGAGAGAGACCAGAGAGAGACCAGAGAGAGACCAGAGAGAGACCAGAGAGAGAGACCAGAGAGAGAGACCAGAGAGAGACCAGAGAGAGAGACCAGAGAGAGACCAGAGAGAGAGACCAGAGAGAGACCAGAGAGAGACCAGAGAGAGACCAGAGAGAGAGACCAGAGAGAGACCAGAGAGAGAGACCAGAGAGAGACCAGAGAGAGAGACCAGAGAGAGACCAGAGAGAGAGACCAGAGAGAGACCAGAGAGAGACCAGAGAGAGAGACCAGAGAGAGACCAGAGAGAGAGACCAGAGAGAGAGACCAGAGAGAGACCAGAGAGAGAGACCAGAGAGAGACCAGAGAGAGAGACCAGAGAGAGAGACCAGAGAGAGAGACCAGAGAGAGACCAGAGAGAGACCAGAGAGAGACCAGAGAGAGAGACCAGAGAGAGAGACCAGAGAGAGACCAGAGAGAGACCAGAGAGAGAGACCAGAGAGAGACCAGAGAGAGACCAGAGAGAGACCAGAGAGAGAGACCAGAGAGAGACCAGAGAGAGAGACCAGAGAGAGACCAGAGAGAGAGACCAGAGAGAGACCAGAGAGAGAGACCAGAGAGAGACCAGAGAGAGACCAGAGAGAGAGACCAGAGAGAGACCAGAGAGAGAGACCAGAGAGAGACCAGAGAGAGAGACCAGAGAGAGACCAGAGAGAGAGACCAGAGAGAGACCAGAGAGAGACCAGAGAGAGACCAGAGAGAGACCAGAGAGAGACCAGAGAGAGACCAGAGAGACCAGAGAGAGACCAGAGAGAGAGAGAGACCAGGGAGGGACCAGAGAGAGAAAGACAAGAGAGAAACCAGAAAGAGACCAGAGAGAGAGAGACCAGAGAGAGACCAGGATGAGACCACGGGGAGACCAGAAAGAGACCTGTTGTGGTGAAGAGGGAGCAGCGTCTGCAGTCAGAGCTTCACCTGTTTGAGTATCTTTGTGTTGTCGTCTTGTTCCTGCTCGTGTTTCTGAACCAGAGTCTGAGAAGCCCTAAGCACTGAGGGCTCCGGGAAGTCTGTGATGGGAGACACCTGTGAGGACCATATGGGGACGAGCATGAGGACCATATGGGGACAAGCATGAAAACCATATGGAGACAAGCATGAGAACCATATGGAGATACCTGTGAGGACCATATGGGAATAAGCATGAGAACCATAGGGGATGCTATTGAGGACCATATGGAGAAAAGCATGAGAACCATATGGAGACAAATGTGAGAACCATATGGAGACAAACATGTGAGCCATATGAGGACCTGTGAGAACCATATGGGGACAAGCATGATAACCATATGGGGACAAGCATGAGAACCATTTGGGAACCAGAGAGAGAGAGACCAGGGAGAGATCAGAGAGAATGGACAACCATGAGAGCCACACAGAGACAACCTGTGAGAACCATAAAGAGACATGAGGACCATAAGGAGACATGAGGACTATAAGGAGACTTGAGGACTATAAGGAGACATGAGGACCATAAGGAGCCATGAGGACTATAAGGAGCCATGAGGACTATAAGGAGACATGAGGACCATAAGGAGCCATGAGGACCATAAGGACACATAGTGAGTGGTGTCTTTACCCTGGGGGCAGTGTGCGTCAGCAGGACTCTTCCTGGTAGATACCGGAGCAGGTCCAGACCAGAGTCTTCCCCACATAGTTCCTGGTCCGGGTTGTTGGACCTGATGGTTCAGTCATGTGACATTGGTAACCTGAATATTATATATACTGTATATAATATATTACATACATATATCTTATAAAGATGTATACATATATAATATATACATATATGTTATAAACATAAACAGAAAGTACAAGCAGAGAATCTGGGTCCGTACCATCGAACGCTGAGGCTGACGGACACCATGGTTTTCTTCTGTCCCAGACACACACTGCACTCCACGTCCGCCTCACCCTTACAGAAGGAACACCTGCAACACACACACAGCTCACACCAGCAAGGGAACCAGCAATGGCACCAGCAAGGGCCCCAGCAAAGGTACCAGCAAGGGCACCAGCAAGGGACCAGCAAGGGCATCAGCAAGGGTACCAACAAGGGCACAGGTAAGGACACAGGCAAGGGCACCAGCAAAGGAACCGGTACGGGCACCAGCAAGGGCACCAGCAAGAGAGACCAGAGAGAGACCAGAGAGAGAGACCAGAGAGAGACCAGAGAGAGACCAGAGAGAGACCAGAGAGAGACCAGAGAGAGACCAGAGAGAGACCAGAGAGAGAACAGAGCGAGAGCAGAGAGAGAGACACCAGAGAGATAGACCATGGACCTCTGAACCATGTGGATGTAGGCTGCTGTACCTCTTGCGTCCCTCCCCGCTGCAGGTGACACACATCTGTCTCTGGACGTAGCTGAACCTGGTGTAAGAGTCGTAACGGAGCTGGGTCTTAAAGCCGTCCCCATCGCAATAATAACAGTCTCTCTGAACACACACACACGCACACACACACACACACCCACACACACACACACACACACACACACACACCAAATATAGTAAGTAATGTATGAAGTAGCAATAGCAGAACAGTCTCACTGATATTCACATCATGGTGAATATGGTTTCATTGTTCTGCCTTTGAAATAACAATGTGTGTGTGTCTTTCTGTGTGTGTGTGTGTCTCTCTCAGATCTGTGTGTGTGTGTGTATCACCCTCTGTTTGTCTGTGTGTGTGCGTTTCTGTGTGTGTGTGTCTCTCTCAGATCTGTGTGTGTGTGTGTATCACCCTCTGTTTGTCTGTGTGTGTGCGTTTCTGTGTGTGTGTCTTTCTGTGTGTGCGTGTCTCTCTCTCAGATCTTGTGTGTGTGTGTGTCACCCTCTGTTTGTCTGTGTGTGTGTCTTTCTGTGTGTGTGTGTCTCTCTCTCAGATCTTGTGTGTGTGTGTGTCACCCTCTGTTTGTCTGTGTGTGTGTGTGTGTCTGTCTCTCTCTCTCTGTGTGTGTCTCTGGCCCTGTGATGTCACATACTTTCCCGTTGCGACAGTCACAGCGCAGAATCCCTCGGCCGTTACAGCTGCGACACTTCTGCAAAACACACAGGACTCATGAGCAGCGGCTCTACTCCGAGCAATGGTCAGAAGTCTGTTCCCCTGTACAGAGGAGACCAGCGAGAAACCAGGGGGAGATCAGGAAGAGACCAGAGAGAGACCAAAGAAGGACCAGAGAGAGACCGGAGAGAGAGTCTTGTACAAACCATGATCTTCCTGGTGTGGGGCAGAGGCAGGTCTTTGGAGGAGACTATAAACGGAGGGGGGTCTTCCATTGGGACGTCCCAGGGGGGAGGGAGGGGAGGGGCATCAGGGGGTGGGGGCTCAGGCTGGTCCTGCTCCTCTTCTGGACAAACACATTAATGCTTTAGAGACCAGAGAGAGCAGAGAGAAAACAACCAGAGAGGCAGACCAGAAAGAGACCAGAGAGAAAGAACAGAAAGAGACCAGAAAGAGACCAGAGAGTGACCAGAGAGAGACCAGAGAGAGAGACCAGAGAGAGACCAGAGAGAGAGACCAGAGAGTGACCAGGGAGAGACCAGAGAGAGACCAGAGAGAGACCACAGAGAGACTAGAGAGAGACCAGAGAGAGACCAGAGAGAGACCAGAGAGAGAGACCAGAGAGAGACCAGAGAGAGAGACCATAGAGAGACCAGAGAGAGACCAGAGAGAGACCAGAGAGAGACCAGAGAGAGAGACCAGAGAGAAAGCAGCAGCTCCATAGCATGATGCTCCCCCTCCCTCTGATGACAGTGTTCTTCTGACCACAGCTCTTTCCTCCACAAGTCCCATGTCCCCAGTCCCCCTGGTGGTCCTCCCTGTGGTCCCCCTGGTGGTCCCTCTGGTGGTCCTCCTGGTATCCCCCCTGGTGTGAGACCATTATAAGGCTCTGTGTTCCAGCAGGTGAAGCGTCTCTCTGTAAAAGTCTCCAAACGAAACTGAAACAAAGAAACAGCGATGATGTTAAATTAAAGTCTTCTGGTCTCTCTCTGGTCTCTCTCTGGTCTTTCTCTGGTCTCTCTCTGGTCTTTCTCTGGTCTCTCCCTGGTCTCTCTCTGGTCTCTCCCTGGTCTTTCTCTGGTCTCTCTGGTCTTTCTCTGGTCTCTCTCTGGTCTCTCTCTGGTCTCTCTCTGGTCTCTCTCTGGTCTCTCTCTGGTCTTTCTCTGGTCTCTCTCTGGTCTCTCTCAGGTCTCTCTCTGGTCTCTCTCTGGTCTTTCTCTTGTCTCTCTGGTCTTTCTCTGGTCTCTCTCAGGTCTCTCTCTGGTCTCTCTCTGGTATTTCTCTTGTCTCTCTGGTCTTTCTCTGGTCTCTCTCTGGTCTCTCACTGGTCTCTCTCAGGTCTCTCTCTGGTCTCTCTCTGGTCTCTCTCTGGTCTCTCTCTGGTCTTTCTCTGGTCTCTCTCTGGTCTCTCTCAGGTCTCTCTCTGGTCTCTCTCTGGTCTTTCTCTTGTCTCTCTGGTCTTTCTCTGGTCTCTCTCAGGTCTCTCTCTGGTCTCTCTCTGGTCTTTCTCTGGTCTCTCTCTGGTCTTTCTCTGGTCTTTCTCTGGTCTCTCTCTGGTCTCTCTCAGGTCTCTCTCAGGTCTCTCTCTGGTCTCTCTTTGGTCTTTCTCTGGTCTCTCTCAGGTCTCTCTCTGGTCTTTCTCTGGTCTCTCTCTGGTCTTTCTCTGGTCTCTCTCTGGTCTCTCTCTCTGGTCTCTCTCTGGTCTTTCTCTTGTCTCTCTGGTCTTTCTCTGGTCTCTCTCAGGTCTCTCTCTGGTCTCTCTCTGGTCTTTCTCTGGTCTCTCTCTGGTCTTTCTCTGGTCTCTCTCTGGTCTCTCTCTGGTCTCTCTCTGGTCTCTCTCTGGTCTCTCTCTGGTCTCTCTCTGGTCTCTCCGTACCCTGTATAAGACGATGTCTTCTATGTGTGTGACTGTCGCCTCCCTCGCAGCTGTGGGGTCCAGGCTCCGCTCTGACACGTACTTCCTGAGAGCCTCCAGAGCGCCCCCTGGAGTCACACTGGGAACACTGCAACAAGAGAGAGCCTCAGTCCTGGGTCTACAGCCTCAGTCCTGGATCTACAGCCTCAGTCCTGAATCTACAGCCTCAGTCCTGGGTCTACAGCCTCAGTCCTGGGTCTACAGCCTCAGTCCTGGGTCTACAGCCTCAGTCCTGAATCTACAGCCTCAGTCCTGGGTCTACAGCCTCAGTCCTGGGTCTACAGCCTCAGTCCTGGGTCTACAGCCTCAGTCCTGGGTCTACAGCCTCAGTCCTGGGTCTACAGCCTCAGTCCTGGATCTACAGCCTCAGTCCTGAATCTACAGCCTCAGTCCTGGGTCTACAGCCTCAGTCCTGGGTCTACAGCCTCAGTCCTGGGTCTACAGCCTCAGTCCTGGATCTACAGCCTCAGTCCTGGGTCTACAGCCTCAGTCCTGGATCTACAGCCTCAGTCCTGGGTCTACAGCCTCAGTCCTGGATCTACAGCCTCAGTCCTGGGTCTACAGCCTCAGTCCTGGGTCTACAGCCTCAGTCCTAGGTCTACAGCCTCGGTCCTGGGTCTACAGCCTCAGTCCTGGATCTACAGCCTCAGTCCTGGGTCTACAGCCTCAGTCCTGGGTCTACAGCCTCAGTCCTGGGTCTACAGCCTCAGTCCTGGATCTACAGCCTCAGTCCTGGGTCTACAGCCTCAGTCCTGGGTCTACAGCCTCAGTCCTAGGTCTACAGCCTCGGTCCTGGGTCTACAGCCTCAGTCCTGGATCTACAGCCTCAGTCCTGGGTCTACAGCCTCAGTCCTGGGTCTACAGCCTCAGTCCTGGATCTACAGCCTCAGTCCAGGATCCACACAGACCTCCATTCAGGACAGGGTGGTGGACTCTCTGGTTCCGGTCTTCTTTCGGGAGATTCCAGTTCACAGGGAAATTCATCTGTGAAAGAAAACGTGTGAGTTTGTTCTGAGACAGATTCGGCTCATAGCGTTCTGTGAGGGGAGAGGGGGGAGGAGGAGGAGGGGGGCGGAGGGGGGAGGAGGAGGAGGGGGGAGGAGGAGGAGGGGGGAGGGGGGAGGAGGAGGAGGGAGGAGGGGGGAGGAGGAGGAGGAGGAGGGGGGCAGGGTACCTCTTCCGTCCAGAACCATGTGGTTGTATCCCAGGACTCTGCGGCTCCACACCGCCTCAGCACTAGGGGGCGACAGGAGCGAAAAGTAGAAAATCAGAAGCTGTATACAGATAGCTCAATGCTAACCTGCTAACTCCATACTAACCTTCTAACTCAATACTAACCTTCTAACTCAATACTAACTTGCTAACTCATTACTAACCTGCTAACTCAATGCTAACCTGCTAGCTAAATGCTAACCTGCTAGCTCAATACTAACCTGCTAGCTCAATACTAACCTGCTAACTCAATACTGACCTGCTGGCTAAATGCTAACCTCAATACTAACTTGCTAGCTCAATTTAGCCCAGTAGAGAAGTGCTCATGGTGAAGTTTGGCTCCTATGACTGAGCCATATGAGGACTGACCAATCAGAGGCCTTCGTTCGTTCTGTTTCCAAATTTGTTGTCAGGAGTGAATTGCCGGGATTGACTTGATTGGCTCTTTGGTTGCTAGGTGGTTGCTAACGGCTTGAGGACACCTGAGGCGTGCACCCCCTGGACTAAGCAAAGGAGCGCTACCTTCATCCCCACTGCTGTCAGACTGTACGACGAGTCACTCATTAATACTTTATATTGACTGTTTACTTTGTAACTGTCGATGTCCTTTGATCTCTCTGACGCCAAATGTAACTGTGCTGAAAGATCGATAAAGTTTGATTCAAACTCACAGAACTCACCTGTTAGAGGACTCCATCGTCTCCTCTTCGTCTCCGTTTTGTCTCCTCTTCGTCTCCTTTATGTCTCCTCTTCGTCTCCTTAGTGTCTCCTTTATGTCTTCTTTATGTCTCCTCTTCGTCTCTTTTATGTCTCCTTTATGTCTCCTCTTCGTCTCCTTTTTGTCTCTTCTTCGTCTCCTCTTCGTCTCCTTTTCGTCTCCTCTTCGTCTCCTCTTCGTCTCCTTTTCGTCTCCTCTTTGTCTCCTCTTTGTCTCCTTTGTGTCTCCTCTTTGTCTTCTTTTGTCTCCTCTTCGTCTCCTTTATGTCTCCTCTTCGTCTCCTCTTTGTCTCCGTTTTGTCTCCTCTTTGTCTCCTTTATTTCTCCTCTTCGTCTCCTTTATGTCTCCTCTTCGTCTCCTTTATGTCTCCTCTTTGTCTCCTCTTCGTCTCCTTTATGTCTCCTCTTCGTCTCCTTTATGTCTCCTCTTCGTCTCCTTTATGTCTCCTCTTTGTCTCCTCTTTGTCTCCTCTTCGTCTCCTTTATGTCTCCTCTTCGTCTCCTTAGTGTCTCCTTTATGTCTCCTTTATGTCTCCTCTTCGTCTCTTTTATGTCTCCTTTATGTCTCCTTTATGTCTCCTCTTCGTCTCCTTTTTGTCTCCTCTTCGTCTCCTCTTCGTCTCCTTTTCGTCTCCTCTTCGTCTCCTCTTCGTCTCCTTTTTGTCTCCTCTTTGTCTCCTCTTTGTCTCCTTTGTGTCTCCTCTTTGTCTTCTTTTGTCTCCTCTTCGTCTCCTTTATGTCTCCTCTTCGTCTCCTTTATGCTCCTTTTTCTCTTCTCTTGTCTCCTCACTGCTCTCCTCTTTATCCCCTCCCTCCTCTGCGTCTCCTCTGTGTCTCCTCTGAGTCTCCTCTGTGTCTCCTCTGCGTCTCCTCTGTGTCTCCTCTACGTCTCCTCTGCGTCTCCTCTACGTCTCCTCTGCGTCTCCTCTGTGTCTCCTCTGCGTCTCCTCTGTGTCTCCTCTGTGTCTCCTCTGCGTCTCCTCTGCGTCTCCTCTGTGTCTCCTCTGCGTCTCCTCTGCGTCTCCTCTGCGTCTCCTCTGCGTCTCCTCTGCGTCTCCTCTGCGTCTCCTCTGTGTCTCCTCTGTGTCTCCTCTGCGTCTCCTCTGCGTCTCCTCTGCGTCTCCTCTGCGTCTCCTCTGTGTCTCCTCTGCGTCTCCTCTGCGTCTCCTCTGTGTCTCCTCTGTGTCTCCTCTACGTCTCCTCCCTCCGCTGCAGACGCACTCTCTCCTGTTGAAACTCGTCAGACGAAACAGAACTTGTGAAACGCAGAAGAAGTGAAGCAACAGCAAAAACCGAGGCATTTCCAGCATGAGCCAACTTTCACCTCCGACAGAACCACAAAGAGCCCTGAGAGTCACTATCTGCCTCTGTGGGCCGAGAGCTGATTGGCTGAGAGCTGAAACTAGAGACAGAAGCAGAGACATGGATTTAATACAGAGTTCTGGAAAGTTACGAACCTCAGCTTTAAAGTTACTGTCCATGGAAAGTCATTGTTTGGTTGTTTCTCAGAAGTGTCCAGCAGAGGTCAGAGTTTCTCCATTCTGTTTCAGACAGAAGAGTGAAAAAGAGCTTTAAACATGTGTTATTGATGAGACTAAAGTTACAGACCTGAGCTTTAAACATGTGTTATTGATGAGACTAAAGTTACAGACCTGAGCTTTAAACATGTGTTATTGATGAGACTAAAGTTACAGACCTGAGCTTTAAACATGTGTTATTAAGTAATTATTCACAAGGTACAAAATGTTTTGCTGAAATGAGGAAACTTTACATCTTGTGTAAGATATTTGACACACACACACACACACATACACGTTTTTGTTACCTGGTGGGTCCCTTTGACAGGGCCGTTCAGAATGGGACCCATAGACATAATCTTTTTTACTGGGACTACTTTAAGTAATACAAAACAGTCAATAGAAACCAAACAACTCTTTTAAAGGAATTTTATTTTAGATTTTTTTTTCGAATTGCAGTGATTCTATTTTTGACATAGAATTTAATGCCACTCCATGTCCGATGTCTAAGGTCATCTGGTGAGGCATTAATGCAGGCCAGGCAGTGAGACTTCCCAGGGACCTTTCCAGTCTGTATGAAAGGTGTCATGGTCTTCTCCACAGCCTTCACCTCAGATGCAGACCATGGCTTTCTCTAACGTTCTAGGGAGAGAAATAAAAATATATTAGCAATATACACTCCCAGGGTTAGGACCAAGCAGCCTGGCTGTAATCCCCCACCTGGTACACTTACCAGAAGGGGCACTGCCACTACCATGGGGTGCATCTGGATGAATGGTTGAAGGTTCTCCGCTTGAAGTTTCTTTTAGCCCGTCCGTTTGTGAGAGGATCTCTACTGCTCTCCCTGTCGCACAGAAAATAAAAATACAAGTGGCCTTTAGGGGAAAAAAATCATACATATTTTAATAATATCAAGAATTACCTTCAGGCTCAATTTGTATCTGGTCGAGGCTCTTTCCTTCGAATTCCGTCACTCTTCCCTGCTCCATGGCCATCAACACTTTGCTGATTTTGGCCAGCTCCAGTGTCCCCTCTGGTAGTCTGTAATATTGCCTGTGGATGCGAATGTCATGGCCGAGGAAGTTGGCAAGTATGTCCATCTCATTCTCTTTCATATTGAGAACTGTAGACATAGTAGCTATGTGCTTTCTAAGTTTGGTTGAGGATAGCATCTCTGGATGCACCGCACCACATTCTTTGGCTACCTGGCGTAGGGAGTCTGATCCCCTGATGTGGGTGTCTGCGCCCGGGCGGGAAAAGAAGTATGGGTTATGGTCAGAGATGGAACAGGCCCTTCTGTTCTCCACCAGCACCTCCATCGAAGCAATCATTTCAGGAGTCAAAAGAACCACCACTTTCTGACTTCTTTTCCCTTTAATTTCAATGCGTTGAAAATGCTGGCACAGCTTTTTCTCAAGTTGGGACAGTCCCAGAGCAATGTCAGAATGGATCCCAGTCTTACTTCTTAAGGTAAACGCTGTCAGTGGCATCTTTGAAACCTCACCTTCCCTTCTTCGATTGAAAATGATGACCTCACAAAGAGTCAAAACTGCCAGTTTAGACCAATGCTTAGACCAGGGGTCACCAACCTTTTTGAAACCAAGAGCTACTTCTTGGGTACTGATTAATGCGAAGGGCTACCAGTTTGTTACACACTTAAATAAATTGCCAGATATGGCCAATTTGCTCAATTTACCTTTAATTCTATGTTTTTAGTAATAATTAATGATATTTATTTTGTGGAAAAACTTTTATATTTTCTCTAAGTGCACATTTTTCAAATTTAACAAATGATCACTTCTAAGACAGTCCCTTTTAATCGCAATTAATCACATTTTAATCGCATATAAATATTTGACCTGAGAACAGTGAGAAGTAATTTTTTTCACATGGATTTTTAGTTTACCATTGAATAATGACTGAATACATGAGGCTTAAGCAACACATGTTAATATGGAGTTTAAGGGATAACTTCTAAACATCAAATAACGTTTCTGTCATTGCCTCCACACTCTGACGACAACATATGCTCCTCCTCCTCCTCCTCCTCACACTGACGACAACATATGCTCCTCCTCCTCCTCCTCACACTGACGACAACATATGCTCCTCCTCCTCCTCCTCCTCCTCCTCCTCACACTGACGACAACATATGCTCCTCCTCCTCCTCCTCACACTGACGACAACATATGCTCCTCCTCCTCCTCCTCACACTGACGACAACATATGCTCCTCCTCCTCCTCCTCCTCCTCCTCCTCCTCCTCCTCCTCCTCCTCACACTGACGACAACATATGCTCCTCCTCCTCACACTGACGACAACATATGCTCCTCCTCCTCCTCCTCACACTGACGACAACATATGCTCCTCCTCCTCACACTGACGACAACATATGCTCCTCCTCCTCCTCCTCACTCTGACGACAACATATGCTCCTCCTCCTCCTCACTCTGACGACAACATATGCTCCTCCTCCTCCTCACTCTGACGACAACATACTCTTTTTAAGCCCAAAATCCACTGCACACGCTGTGAGCACTAAAGCTGGGCATGCGCTGTTTGCTAAAGCTTTTATAATACGTTTTTGATGTGTGCATTCGGAGTAAACATCAGCATTAGCAGCTCACACACCTGTGTCTCGCTCCTCCTTCTCCTCCTCCTCCTCCTCCGCTCACACAGGAGTCACTGCTCCTCCTCCTCACACACAGAGTCCATCGCTCCATACACAGCGCTCATTCCCGTCTAATTTACTCGAATTTAAAGTTGGTTTCTGCTTGTAATAATGTACTTTTGAACAAGAAAAGTCACGGAGCTCCGGTTGGTGCGTCAGTTCAATTGGTCCGTCTGAAACTTATTCAGTGAGGAACGTTCCGCGGTGCAAAAATACATACGATTAAAATGCGTAATTTTTTTAACGCGCTTTTTTGTGTGTAATCAATTAATCTTTATTAACTTGTTAAAGTCCCGGCTCTAGTTTATATGCCATTTGTAAGTTGCATGTAAGTATGATTTAAACAAGAATAGCACTGGTAAGTGCTGCCATTTGAGCTATTTTTAGAACAGGCCAGCGGGCGACTCATCTGGTCCTTGCGGGCGACCTGGTGCCCGCGGGCACCGCGTTGGTGACCCCTGGCTTAGACGTTGGCTCACTTATTAGGGTTTGCACATATTCAGGTCGACATACCTCAATATGTGCATGCATGGCTCTAACGTCCTCAGTCAGAGAGAGGGAGCAGGTCCGGAGTGTTCCACTTGGCTTGCCGGAGGGTCTGTAGGGCAGCAGAAGAAACACAGACGTCCCACCTCTTCTCAAAAAGCAGCCGGCTTCGTTGGAGGTTTTTAATAAATAGTTCATCAACACAATGCTCCATTTTTGAGTCACATTCAAGAATATCTGCTAGCTTTCTGAGGCTATGGCCGAGTTTGAGGGCCATGGATGGAGTCTTGTATTGATTTGTTTCCTCATCATATCCAGCCACAGACCTGACTGCATCAATCACATGGTTAAAGTTGGAAGGAATAAAGAAATCCTTCATTGTTTTCAGTTTCCCTGCGGTTTTTGCTTCGTTAATTAACCTACCGACTTCTCTCATTTTCTGCCTAATGTAATCATGCTTAGTCTTATTTTGCCCGTGTTTTAAGTACAGGTGCTCTCCGAGTCTCAGAATCCCCTTTTCTGCTTTGACAACACCCGTGACCTCATCCTGATGCATTGCCCAAATTAAAGACCACAGCTTTTTGCTGATGCCCTCCGGTACAGGCTGGGCTAGGGAGCAGAGGGACTGGACCCTACTTTTACCTGGTTTAGCCTGGTTTAGCCTGGGCACCTTTCCGTGAAAGCCGGCACCTGGCCACATGCCTCCACAGCGACTTTCGCTTAAAGGACAACTCACCCTCAAATCCACTTTTTTTTGCTGATAAACGGTATAAATGAGTGTCCAATAGTGTTGTCTACATATCCTGGTCATAATCTTGTCACTTTGGTGCAAATTAATTGAAAGTTAGACTTTCTGCCTAAAACCGTCTGTGAGGCGCCATCTGCTGGCGACCTGTATTACTACATTTGAATTTTGAATCTGGCGCCAACACTGGCACAGAAGTTGGACCTGACGTCAGCAACCCCCCGCCCAGAGCTATGTAAACGGCCCAGTCTCGTTCACGCCCCCTTCAGTCCTCCAGGCTACGCCCATTTAGAAGAAGATTTGAACAGGAAATGTAAGTAACGTAAACTCCGAGGAGCGGGGGTGAGAACCACTTTAAGCAATGCCCCACAGTCTATACAGTGCAAAAACTCACTGGATTTAACTGGGGAATTTGGCTGTTTAGCTGGGACTAAAGTTCCAATGCCGGCCTTTAAAACCTCAACATTGTGCTCACGGTTTCCACTATTCCTGATCAAATCAAACTGAAGTTTACGTGCTTTAGATTTCACAGGTAGAGCCAATGCTCTGGCTACGTCATTTTCATTTCCATGTTTTCTAGTCAAATGACGGGACATTTTGTGGCAGGACATTGAACAGTAGAGGCAGAAGTGTCTCTTGCTGTAAACTCTCCCCCCATTTTTCTTCTTTTGCAGCTGCACAATAACAATCTTATCTTACGGCCAGGGAGATGGAAGTATCCGCCCCAACATCCTCAGCCTCTGCCTCCTGGACGGAGGACGTGACGGGGGCTCGATAGGACTCCTTCTTCAGCCTGACGGCATCCCTTACTGCCGGTGTCCACCACCGGGTTCGGGGATTGCCGCCGGGACCAGCACCAGAGACCTTGCGACCACAGCTACGAGCCGCCGC